GCGATAATAAGTCGAGATTTCTTTCCTTTTTTTTTTTCTCCATGTCCCCTTAGGGGCTCCGTACAGTTCAGACTGATCAGTACCAAATACAAATTTTGGATTTTGTGACCATCATTTCTCCTCATTGCTTCCACCAGCATAGAAGCATAAAATGCCCCTGACTACCCCGTCTGCATCCTGTTATGCTGCTCAAAAAATACTATCGTCTCCTCATTGATAGTGAATATAAAACCAATTTTCGAGGTTTAAAAAACTTCCAAAACAGGAAAATTCTGCAAGTTGTTTGAAACCTTTTAGAACATACTTTTCTCCTTGATTCTTAATTTTACAATCCCTTTAGGCATCACACCGCGGCGAAGATGATTTTCTGGAGTTAAAACCAAACATTTAGTTTTGCCCCACTGATAGTATTTAAATATTGATTTTGACAACCCTACTCAAATTAATTACATTGTATTGTCACCAATGTGAAAGACAGTGCCAAAAGAGCTTGATGATAAAAGGACATAACGATTCAGTTCCTGTAAAGATCTAATTTTGTCATGAAAAATAAAATAGTAAATAAATGACCCATTAGTTCAGAAAGAATGTTTATTGTTCCCATATAAAAATTATATACATGTGCAATATCATTTCTTCAAATTGTTTCCTATAAATACAACACATCTTGCAATGTTTCTTAATGGTTTTTGGACAAAACCAGAAAAAAGAAATTCTGAAAATTAAGGCATCTAAAAAAAAAAATGTTAAAGCACTTCTCATTAGAGAGATGTTAGGCTTTCTGCTGTTATTCCAGCATCTTTGGCCATGGAGTAGAAATGGCCTCTCTTTTCCATCAGATTGCTTGGAGAATCAAATTCTACAATTTGACCAGCATCGAGGACCATCACCCTGTGGAGCAGGAACATGTGTTAATGTCATAACATACCGAGAGGTGTTTATTCTGACAGTGATAAAAGAAAACATAGCAAAATGAAAGAGACATGCACGTGCACTGTTTGTGTTTTATGCAGAACAATAAAGTCAGTGAAGAAACAAATATGAACAGTAGGCAATATGAGGATAACAAGCTTTTTCATTATATTTTCAAGGCCATTCTCCGCTTTGAGTCTGTTTCAGGGTTTCATGTTTATTTTCACTAAAATATTTCACATTCAAGCTTTAAAAGTATTTTAGACAAAAAACAATTGCAGTTCTGTAAAAATGTAATGCGTTTTGTCTTCAGGTGGTGTAGGTCACAACATAAACAGTTATCTTATTACAACATATTCTTTATGACCACGTCTCAAGGCAACACTTGACAATATCGACTTTAAAAATGTGAGTTATGGGCTAGGAAGCGGTCAAGTCTATGGTGCTGTTTTAACATGCTTTACATGTCACTCACTTTATATTTGAGTCATTCTTCCCTGACTCGAAAACAGAGACGTTTCACAACGTATCAAGTGAGAAAGAATTGCACCATTTATGTGCAAAAAGCTGCACACTTAAAGCACTTTTAAGTACTGTTCAATTTCAGTGAATGATTAGGTAGTGCTGCAAACAGTATAATTATAGCAGCTACTCTGTGTTACTCATCCAGTCTAAAGAGGAACTAATTAAATAATTTACGTGTAAATTATTTCATATTAATTGTGTTTTTTATTATTCTTATTCATTTTAGATTGTATTTATCCCAGATTTTATATTTTGAATTTTGCTTTTATATTTTACATTCCCTTTTATTTGTGTATGGACATATATCTCTTAACTGATTGATTGATTGATCAATTGTGATTTTAAACCATTTGAATCTCCCTCAGACACAAACAAGCATTTAAAGTAGAATGAAGCATCTGTGAGGACATTTCAGACATTCGTGCCGAACGCGGACTCACCTGGAGCTGTCCATGATGCTGTGCAGACGGTGGGCGATGGTGAGCACCGTGCAGTGGGAGAACTCTTTGCGGATCGTAGTCTGAATCAGGTCATCTGTCTCCAGGTCAACGGCTGCAGTGGCCTCATCCAGGATCAGGATCCGAGACTTTCTCAGCAGAGCCCGAGCCAGACACAGCAGCTGCCTCTGACCGACACTGGAAGAGACGGGCAGATGTTCAGATCTTATCTGGAGCTCTCAGAAATTAAAATAAAATCCCATGTGGACACTCACTGGGACTGAGATCAGGCTAGACTGAAGTGTTGTGTACATGTGGGACAAACATCTTATTTTAGGAAGGAATTGTGTTGGGAACGATATTGTTTTGGAATAATCAATTGTTAATTAATTTGCAGTTTACTGAAAACTCAAGTATTCCAGCAGTTTACAAACAGCTGCACGTTTTCACATTCTGCATTTCTTTACTGTGACTTGAATTGTAATCACTGTTTAAGTTTATGCTGCCCACCTGAGGTTTTCTCCTCCCTCTGCAACCTCATGCTGTAATTCTTCCTTCAGCCCAGCTACATAGTCCTTCAGATGAGACAGCTCCAGCACTCTCCAGAGCTCCTCATCGCTGAATTTGTCAAATGGATCCAAGTTCATCCTCAGCGTCCCAGAGAACAAGACTGGATCCTGCACTCCAGAAGCTCATAGGTTAGCATACTTAGCAGAAAAGATTATCTTGTTTCTGCATTTGTTTTTGTCTTTGGTGTTTACCTGTGGGATGATTGTGAGTCTGTTTCTTAGATCGTGCAGTCCAATTTTAGAGATATCTACATCATCAATTAGGATATGTCCATCAGCTGCTTCAATTATGCGAAACAGGCAGTTTGTCAGGCTCGATTTTCCAGCTCCAGTGCGGCCCACTATACCGATCTGAAGGTAATGAAAGAAAACTTCAATTTAGCATAAAATTGAGATCCAAATATGATAATTTATTTATTTTTTTTTTTTTTTTGCATAACCCATCTTTTAGAAAACACAGACAGTTGGAATAGGATGAATGAATAAAATTATTTGACATTTTTACTCAGATTGCAGCCAATAACTGCATTAATGTTAAATTTGCTGTGTTATTTAAAGCCAAGGAATGTCTCAATCTAAAGTTGTGGGTCTCCTGGAGAGCTTTCTCAAACTCCAGATATGAAGGGACGGACAATCCTGACACAATCTGGTGTGTTAATAATGTGGTGCCATCATGCAACTGGACATTTAATATGACAAATGTAGGACATACAAAAATGTCAGTGTCATTTGGAGTATCCCTATGTTTTGTCAAGGCTCAACATTCCTTCAAATCAAGAGCATAGTGGAAAAGGACCAATTGCAGAGCAGCAACATTAGTCATTAATAACTACAATGTGCAAAGCAAAGAACCTAATTTAAGAAGTCTAAAACTAAATCTACTAGTAAACTCTGTCCACACACAAATAGCTTCAAAGATAACATTTTGTAAGACAAATTATCATCCAAAGATTGACATCAGAGAGGTGTTAGTCTGTTCCTTTTATGCCCTTAACTACAATGTTCAAGGTGTGAGACAAATACTGTATGTGATCTGTTTTGTCACCTCCAGCAACATGTGCACAGAAAACTCTCTGTATTGCAGAGGGAGCTACCCTATCCACACCTTACACAAATCAAATACATTGTACAATTTCATATATTTTTAGACATTTCTAGTATGTAAACTAGAAATGAACATTGTGAGACAACAAAGGTGAGAACAAAAACAAACGTTCTTCATTATGTTTCCTCTTTGTACAATAAACTCAAACCAGCCAAACCAATATTGACATTCTTTATAAGTAAGGTTTAATACCGAAGAAATGTGAATTATTACCATCTACATCTATCGGGTTTCTAAGCAATACATATTGGTTTTATTTTTTGTTAATTTAGTGCATATCAAACAAATGACTTGGACTGGTATGAGGCACAAAAGTCCCAAATGGAACATCTGTAGTGCCAAGAATTTCACAAGGGTGATTTATTGCATTAAAAAAGTAAACTTATGTCTCTGACATTTGCTATTTGCTCCTTTCTTTCTAGATGTGGTTTGTCCAGATTTAATGCCAATACCAGAATAATAATAAAAAGTAAATCAAATCTCATCAACAAAATAATCCAGGAAACATAGGTGGCCTAAATTAGGCCACAAATAAAATTAGCTGAGAGGAACAGAGTCAACAAGAGATGAGGGCTGTTTTCTAAAGATGAAAGGCTAAGAAAAAGAAGAGAAGAATATGGTTGATTTATTCCATAGCTCACAACAGACCTATCCTATCTGTACTTGTAGTTCACAACGTTGTTATTATGGTCTAATTAGAAAGTTTTTATATAATTATTTCACAATTTATTCAATATTCTAATTTACTGCAGATTGAGTTCCTTCAAGTTTTGCTGTTTTTCCTGATTTAAGAGAAATGGGAACAACATTTGCCCATAAATATGGTCCATTAAAGCACCGTTCCCTTTTAGCTATTGTCGTTTCTCTTTGATGTCTGATATTACTTGACATTTAGGTTTAGGGTAAATCTACTGAGCTTCATTCCCTTATAGTTTTAAAATATGATGCTTAAGTTGGTATCTGTATGCAGAATTTGTGACAGTCAATGAGTTTAGAAAATCTAAATAAAAAGGTGTGGACCTAAAAACCTGGCGGCTGTTTGCATTTCTTCAAAGAACAATTATGCTCAGTTAAAATTAAGTTAAACTACTTAAAAACTACAGTTTTGTAAGATTTCACATTTTGATTTAGTTCAATTTGCATGTTATTTCCTTTTTGATAATAACCAGTTGCCCTTCAGGTGATGATCAAATTCAGATTGTTTGCCAATAAATGAGATGCAATGAGTTGACCTTAATATAACCTTCCTGGTATAAAATGAACACACGGACACATTTATTAATTCAAACCCCCTTTTTTTTGTTTTTGAATGATAGAAGGTTGGTTCATAAACAGTGACACACACCTACGTTAAAAGAAAATCTCCCACACACAAACCTTCTCAGTGCTGCCAATGTCACAGGAAATCCCTTTCAGGACCAGGTCCAGTTCAGGTCTGTAGCGGACCTTGTAGTCTACAAACTGCAGCCTTCCTGCTTCAGGCCACTTCTCTGAAGGCCGATCCTGAGTCACCCAGGGAGCCTGAAGAACAACAGGCTCATCAGTGACGTTATCAAGTTAGGCTGATAATGTTCAGAATGTATCCGTGACGTATATCTGGTGGAACTATCCAAATGTGTAATACACGTGTCATATATAATATCATTGTAATATGGACATAGCAGTATTGCATACCAGAGTATAATACTAATGGCAGTGGAACACATGATGCCATGATAATATCGTAATTTCCAATACAACAGCTCAACCAGTTGTATACATGATTTGATAACCACACAATATAGGCGGACACAGATAGGTTGGACTTGTCAGTAAACCCTGCAAGTGCTGAGTGTCAAAGCTCCAACACATGCTCACTACTCTAAAATGTTGACTCAGCTGTTAAATCAAACAGGCTGGATGCTTTCAAGTGGAAGTGAAAGGCATTCCTTACTGTCTTGTTAATTTGGCTAATATATGTTTGAGCACTCGGAGGCGACCCGACGGTTTAAAAGGACAAAAAACTAAAAGAATGGGACACCGAATAATTCAACACAGGTTCTTGTTTGATTATTGCATCGAGTGTGTCAGATTCAAATCTGAGTTAATAAAGTCAGTTGAACAATTAGGATACAGTCCTATATATTCCTTTTTGCAGCGCAAAGCAGACATAGTACATGTAGGCAACAACCAGTTTCTCCAAATGTTATGCCAAAAATCCTATGAGAGGATATATGAAAAAGAAGAAAAGAAAAGAAAAGCTGATGTCATGGAAATGTAATGGTGATTTTACAGTAGAATACTGTGAATTTCACTGAGCATGTGAAAACAGCTCACATACTTAAAAAAAAAACACCACAGCGATTGATGGTTAAAGAATTTCTCCATTCTCTATTTCCTCACGCTGTGATCCAAGTGACATACGTCTTCTATATGCCATACAAATGTCAACATAGGAAACAGCGAGACAAGCAGATCTGTAGTGGAGAAATAATAAAGGACAACATACCTCATTCTCAAGCTCAGAGTATTCACTGACTCTCTCCACAGCTACAATATTAGTCTCCAGCTCTGAGGTCATCCTTACCAGCCAGTTGAGGGTTTGAGTTACCTGGAAATCCAAAGAAGGAATAGAAATTAAATTGTTTTTGCTGGTTTTGTTAATATCTTCACTCATTACTCCTGTTATTTTAGTGCTATTTGTCCTAAAGTACAGCTAAGGAGATTTAGCGACTCACATTAAGGGCATATGATATGGACAGACCAACCAGGCCACTCTCAAGGGAGTCCCTGGATATTACAGCAAAAAGAGCAGCAAAAAACACCACAAGGTTTCCCAGAAACTCCAGGCGGATGGCCAGCCATCTGTTGAGTAAAACAAACATCATACACTGAAACCGACAAATATACATTTTGAAAAGGTGCTCCATCAAAAATCTGCCATCACTTAGTACTTTTAAAAAGTATTATTTTGAAGGTCTCCTTCCATTACTGACCTGTTTGACACGATCCACGGATAGACGCTTTTCAGGTTTTCATCAATAGTTACTTCATTGTGTTTCAGGAAGCGTTCCTGATGGTTGTAGGCTCTTATCACAGACAGACCTGACACAGTCTCACCAAAGTGAGAGTATATAGGCGAGCGAGACACTGAGTCCAGGCGGCGCAGCTGTCGTGAAGTTGCTACGTAGAATCGCTGGTGGTGAAGAGAAAACAAAAAATTGATAACAGTTGATTTTGGGTTGATCATTTTAGAAAAAGCTTTATAAAACCACGACACTTTTCATCACACCTCTCCCAGAACAGATTGTTTATTTGACAAGATACACTTTTGCAATAAATATTATCTATGTAGTGTGGAGGGAGGACAAGGAAGGGGGGCTTTACTAATAATGTCTGTGGGTAATGTGTGTATGTATTTTTTGGCTGCCAGTTGCCAGTAGCCTCTGCAGGCAACTGGCAGCCATTTAGCAGCAACTGGCTAAATGGGCCAAAAATGGTGGCCCGTTTTGGAGAGGTACAAGGAAACCTAGAGAGTAGATGAGGATGAGATGAATTGTGGTTGAGGGTGGAAATGCGATGGTGTCCACCTGAAATGGTGTTCTTTGTTGAACTGAGCTCCAGAAAAAGACCTGCTCCAGATCCTGCCCTGAAATGTTAGGATTTTTACTGATGGCCATTTGCCTTTGTTTTTTTTTGTTTTTACTGGACAGGTTTTAGGACAATATACTGGCATGTTTTATGTGACTATTTTTAAAATGCTAATGTTTTTAACATTAGCAATGCAGTAGCAGTGCACCTCACTAAAAATTAGTCGTAGTTTGTCTGGAGACGTTTTATAGAATAGCTTAATTGTTAATGAGCTTCCACAAGTTGATGTTCTTCAAATGTTTGCCACAGCAAAGATATTGGTATGATTACAGCAATGTTAATCATAATCATCTCCAGCTGGTTTGGTTCAAGACTTGATCTCGTCTTCCTCAGAGTTTGATGCCAGTTACACGCTTCAAAACAGTTGGCACCAGACTCATAACTCTTCATTAATTTGCTCAACTAAATTCATTGTGTGCAGGCGAAAAGGTAATTGTTTTTATAATTTCTGAGCAAAATGTTTTCACCAATCATGTTACGTATTATAATGCAACAGAACCCCGTGAAATACTGAGTGCTATTCCTAAATCTTTACTAACTTTAAACTTTTAGGGAGCCCTGGAGTTTTGAATCGACGGAAAACCTGGGATTAGTTTAGTTACTGTGCACGACACTGTTAACTATTCAGTAAAAAAAATAAAATAAATTAAGTAATGCAGGAAAAAGGTATTTACTTTTTCACAGAATTGTTAAGGCTTCAATCACCAAATTAATGTTTTTAATCTATTTTAGAAAAGATGCTTGTAAACAGATATTTTATACAAAAGCATAACAGTCTGTGGAGGTTTTCTGCTATATTTTTTTTTTATAATTTAGTTGATTTAAAAGCAAAGTAGAAGCACTTTAACATCTGTGCCTCAGCTCTGATTTATCCATGACAAGCTCAGTAAAAGTGGAAATCTGTCCTTGTGGTCTAACAATTTAAACATTTTAGAAGTAAGTGAAGAGACCAATTTCTCGCAGCTAAAGAGTGGAGGACCCATCTGGCTTATACAGATGATAATGGAAGCACGTACAGGTGCTGAGGTTGAGAGCTCGACTGAGAAGTCAGCTCAGGCTGCATGCTACTTCACCATCCAGCTTTCTTCCTATAACCCTAACTACAGACAAAAAGAGTGAATAGGGATGTGAGTCAGTAACAGCAAAGAGAAGATGACTTCTGTTCACATCAAGGGGGCTTTATTGTAAGCCATGCTTGATCTTGAACTCTGCAATTTAGATGAGGTAAGTTAAAGTGCCTGTTAGCATTTTTTGTGTATTATTACTAACAGAGGGTGAAACTAAGACAGGAGAGTCACTTAGTGTACCAGATTTAAAAAAAAATATTATAATATTATTGTTTTGTGGCACTCTATCATTTATTCTTTTCCATATTGTTTCAATCTGCCTGTGTTTGGGTTCACTCACCTGCACAAAAAAGTAAATCACAGCCAGAGGAACGATGATGATGGTGAAGAACGGAGTCGCCAGACAGATGACAAACAGTGTCCCCAGTACGCCTAGTAGACACAAGATCCAGGAGCGGAACGACTGAGGGATGGCTTCATCCACTGTGAATATGTCCTACAGGAAGACAAGAAGGGTGTAAGGTGACTTACTATCGTTAATCTTTATTTAGTTACTTATAATGACTGAGTGCAGACTAAAACAGTAAAATCTCAAAGGAGATTTGCAAGGGTGAATAAATACAGCAATGATAAAAAAAAAAAAAATAATAATAATAATAATAATAATAATAATACATAAATAGAGCCCCACCTTGGCAAATCGGTTAACGACTCTACCAATTGGTGTTGTGTCAAAGAAAAGCATAGGCACTCTGAGAATGTTGTTTAGCAGTCTTGAGTGCAGAATCCGAGACGCGTTGACTGAGGCATTGGCTAGGAGAAGTGTGCCAAGGAACACTAAAATACCTGTAACATAAACATATATGGTGAATGTCCCATGTGAGTGTCAGTAACGCACACACAAACTGAAGAAACAATCATTCTGCCCAAAATCACACCTAAGATAAGCTCAGACTGAGCTATTAACCTAATATTTGTGTTTTTGGACTGTTAGGAAAAGCTGCAGTGACAGATGAAAAAACCCTGCATGCACATGACCATTTCCTTGAAAGTCATCAATGGAAAATTTTATACCACCATAAAGCACTTAGGCACCAGCAACATCATTCTCCACAAAAATTATTTGCAATATAATTCAACTTCTGATTCTTTAGCAAGTACTTCCCACTGGTCTATAGAACCAGAACATGGCCGCAAAAATACATTAAATGTTAAAAAACTTTAATGTAGGATGTTATTTAACACCTTCGCAGAGCTAAGTTTTCAACCACAATACCAGCTTAGTGTTCTCCATTGTCTTTACCAACAGTTTCCATATCAACAATGTTCCCATTAAAGAGAAGCTGTAAAGGTTTATAATTGAATAGTTATTTTTTCACTGCCTGAAATGACTTGGAGGTTGAACACATTTCAGATACTGCTGTTTCAGCAAAGAAAATTAAACAATAAGACACACAATATAACAATAAAAGAGAAAGTCATTAACTCAAGGTTGAACATCAGTAAGCAGAAAAGTGTTATTTAAGCGCAAACTGGTGCATAGAATTAAAAAAAAAATGTATTTCCAAGAGTCACATCCTGTCACTCTTGGACAGAAAATGTATGCTCTTGAATGTACACCTCACAAAATAATTTTGAGGCACTTTCGGTGCAATCTCAAGTCATTAGAGATTAAAAACTTCAGAAAACCGTGAATATTACATGATTTCTACAACCCCCACAAAATCTGAAATATTCAACTTCACTGCTACGTCATAACCACAGCCCAAGTTACAACTTGTCAGCCCAGGTATTAAGTAAGTGAGATATTGTAGTGTAAGCAAACCAAATGACTTAAATCTGAAACTTATAAAATAAAAGGGCAGTTACCTTGAGCCAGTCCAAGAGCACCAAACACTCCTACCCTGGTGTCCCTCTTCTGGGAAGGGTATGTGATGTTATAGTAAGCTGCTGCATCATTTGTCCAGTCACTCAGCCACAAGTTTTGACCAATGAATGCAACATTTTGGATGAAGTAAATGAAGATGATCCAAAAAGTATACCACCATCCCATGGCCCTCAGGTATTGGAGATACACTGAGAATTTTACCTGGATGTTAATGAGAGAGCACACTAAGAAGACAGACTCTACAGTTTCATCTTTTGGTTTACTTCAGTTGCTATATGAGGTAGGCTCAAATTGTATACCTTCCCCGTTTCCATAGTCTCCTTTTCTATTAGCTTTTGACCTTTCTTTGTCTCACCAATATCTTCAGTTGGTTTTAAAGTGCTGTTTTTCCTTAGTCTGAAACTGTAGAAAAGACAAAAAAAAACATGAGTACAATAATATATTTTGAATGAGAAGTATCAAGAAAAACAATGTCATTTGCTACTTAAGACAACAATGTGATCAAACCTGGACCCAGTTCCTCTTTGGCTGCGACGGATGCTGTTTTCTCTCTTCAGTGTGAACGAAACAGCGTCCTCTGGAGGAGAGTCTGCCTGAGCGTCATCTCTCTCAGGGATGGTTTCTAAGTCTTCTATATCTTGGTAACCATCTGCAAAGGCATTGATCAAAAACCATCCACATGATTACACAGGGATGCTCAACGCAGCATCATTTTCTGTAATGATCCAATACACACATACTGTAATAATGCAGCCTTTTATAGCCATGAATGATGCAATTACCTTCTTTTGAATGTGTCTGATTACTTTGCTCTTTGGCGTATGTGTCCAAAAAGTCTGAAAAAGCCCCTTTACTAGCACGAAGGCTCTGGTAGGAACCAACCTCGGAAACCTGTCCGTTTACTAAAACTACTACTTCATCTACGTAAGGCAGGAAGCTGATTCCGTGAGTCACCAGGACACGAGTCTGCAGGGAAAAAAGCATATTCAATGATACATGCATATTTTCTATTTTAGTTTTTTTTTCCCTATATTGATACAAAAATTATGGTAAACATTACAGATAATGATAGTATTACATAAAGCCTAATTTAAATAAATTTTCATCTAATGGGATTCTTTTAATATAGTTCAGCCACTAAGAAACAGTGAACTACTTACACTTCCTGTCATTATTTTCGGAAATTCTCATAATTGCAGCGAGTATCATAAGTTCAAATCAAATAAATTGGGTTTTGATGTAGCAGGAAGAGGCAAAGTCAACAATAGAGACTGTATAAGATGTGATGGATGCACCCATCATGTTTCTTATCTGCACAAGTCTTTGGGTGTTTGTGTAGACTGGGTTTGTTTCACTTTCAGTTTTAGTGTTGTAGACACTAGAGCAGGACAAGTACAAACCTTGTTTTTTAGAATTCCTTTAGGTCCAATAACGTTATCAAATAGATGCTTTCCAACATGAGAGTCAACAGCAGACAGGGGGTCATCCAACAGTAAAATATCAGCCTGACTGTAAGCTGCTCTGGCCAAGCTGACACGCTGTTTCTGTCCTCCTGAGAGATTGATACCCTGAGAACAAAAATGAGAGCACACACTTGATAATATGAGGCTTCATAACCCCACAAGGTTTTTATTTTACCTCACACCCATATAACATTCGGTCAAAACTCACATGCATACCTACATGTCTGAACCAAAATCTAAATACACGAACCTACCTTTTCTCCGATCTCAGTGAGATCTCCTGCAGACAGCAGCTTGAGGTCGGGGCCCAGAGCACACGCCTCCAGTATGTCTTCGAACCTCTGCTCTTCATAGGGAGAGCCGAACAAGATGTTATCCCGCAGAGTGGCATTTTGGATCCAGGCTTGCTGTGGTACAAATGCAAGAGAGCCCTGGGTGGAAATACAAAAAGAACATAAGGTGCAAGTCTCATGTAGCCACACTCTTACTTTCAGATTGAATGCCACTTATTTTGCATTAGGGTTGGATTGTTTCCAGTAATAAGCAACTCTGATGATTAAACGGAAGTTTTCATGTTTCCTTGATCAAGCATGAAAGCTTCTTCAAGCTTTCATGCTTGATCTATGGGCCCATAGATCTATGGGCTATGCAAAACATGTTCATTAAACGTTTTGTAAAACAAAACCCACTCTCAGATTATGAGATGTGCCCTGCACTTTTGCTGGTTTACTGTGTCTCTTGTCACTTGAAATCCAAATAAACATCTGCTGGCTGTGCCCCCTATAGCGATAGCTCAACATTTACACTTGCACTTCATGCAGGTGAGATTTGTTTCAAACATGAATGGTACGTCAACAACAAAACACAGTAGCCATACTGCAGCACACACAGCTATAAATTCAGCCGACCTCAGGCTGGAAGTAGTAGAGACCCATGTGGAAGTGGAAATACGTGCAAAAAGTGAATCAGAGAAGCTGAAATAAAATATTAAAACACACATTCCAATTTTCTAAAAACATTATAATGTCAATGATAGACATTTCTAAGAAAATGAAATGCTTAAGGTGTTGTTTTCATACTCCAGTTAAATGAACGTGCCACTTAATGGCTGTTTTGTACGTTTTTCAAGGATGTCTTTTTTGTGATGTTGCCACTTAGCAGAATATTATATATTTTAGATTACAGCACTTGTAGAGTACTTTTTTTTATCTGATATATGACTTTTTTTATTATTATATTACAGAACTTTGTCCTCAAACAGAGCAGCTACTAGAAAGTTTTAAGAGTAAACTTGACAATAGATATTTTAATTCAATGTGAATCTTTGTCTTTTCCTCAACTTTGTAACAACGTTTTTATTGATTCAAGAAAGCTTGTTATATCATCCCTGTTGCATTTATAAACGTTTTTAAGTGCAACTGTGCTCCCCCTATGCAAATCCTTTTGAAAAAATATCAAATTGATAATAGAAACAGGGTCAAATTTTCTCTACAGGTTTCTCGAAAACAGTTTTTCTGAGCAAAACAATAACCAATACTTCACTGGACCACCCAATGATTCAAACTTGAATCTTTTCATAAGGGATTAAAAACACACTAAGAAAAAAGAAGATATCATTAAGCATACTAATGCAATTCAATAAACATTAATCAAGCCTTTAATCAAGCAGTACCCGAATGTTGATGAAGCCTTTGGTGCTGTGCATCTCCCCTAGGAGGGCTGACATGAGTGATGATTTCCCTGAGCCCACAGCTCCCACTACGGCTACCAGCCGACCAGGTTTGATATCCAGCGACACACTGGGAAACACAGGCAGAAATCATATTGTATATCCTCCTAATTTTAAAAAAAGATTAAAAGGGAATTTTGTGGCCCAATATTGCGATACATATATGGCTGAAACCAGACATGTACATAAACTTTGTAAACAGATCATAACCTTTTTCTTGTTTGTGCTTTTCAGCGTCTGATATTTTAATTCACATTTGAGCTACGTGAAGGCCTAATTCTGGACGTACCTAAGACATCCAGAAAAAACCCGTGCCAGCATGGAAACATCAAAGAAATCATTCAGAATACAAGAAAGAGAATTGCAGAGCTCCACAGGTCTGGTTCATTGCTTGGTTTCCAGATGGCACATTTAGCATAAATTGCATGGGAATCTCAAGCCAGCTGTCAGAAAACTGGTTCCATCAATACACCTCATGGAGATTGGCACAGTGAAATAAATCCAGTAAGTGTCTGTGAGCAAGACGGCCCACAAATGAATAAACTACATTCGTATTTTCAGGAAAATGGGAAAAATAAACTATTTTGCGAAGGTTGAACCAAGTCCTACAGTTTAAAAAACAATTCTACTAAATACTAAGGAGACATGTAAACTTTGGATTTCAAGAACGTAAAAGAAATAAAAAAAACTTCTTCAATGTTCTGTTGTTATTCTGGCATATAGTAAATAGGGGAAAAAAAACAACAATCCTAACTTTAAGAAAACAGCAAAAGTTTAGTCTGATTTAACATCTGGTTTCAACTGTGCCCAGGAATTCTTGTACAATAAACAAAGCAAACATACTTTTTCAGTAGAGGCTCAGAGTCTTTTTCCCAAGCAAAGGACCCGTCTGATATGTTGATAGCAGAATCTAAAAGAAAAACATTTAATGCAAATTAAAAAAAAAGAAAAACAGTAAATCTGACAGATTTGATCAACATGTTATCATCACTTCTCAGGATAGAAAAAAAAAAGACAGACTTACTAAAACTCGGGTCATGACGCACGATGTCGCTGTCAAGATCATCTCCTCCCAGAAACTTCTCCAGCCTCTTTTTAGACACCGTTGTCTGACGTGTGAAATCAGCAGATAGTTAGAGTTTTATTACAGCTCTGACTTGTGTCCAAGTAGCAATTACAGCAGTCTATCTACCTGCACAATGGAAGCAATTAGCATCGGAAGCATGGCCAGAGGAAATCGAAGGATGTTGAACAGAGAGATTGAAGTGAAGGCTTTCTCGGCAGTTAGTATGTTGTCTGAGCTCACACCAACAAACACAGCAAACGTGGCCAGAGAAACCTGTCCATAAACAAAGCACAGGCCGGGTTAGCATCAAGGATCCTTGCAGGATTTTAGTTTCACTTTGAAAGCATCTGACGTGACTCACCAAAGCAGGGGCGCAGGTGAAGATGAAAGTGGAGACGGACGTGAGATAGGCAAACTTCCTCATCACCTTCAGTTCTTCTCCTCTGATATCTTCAACTTGAGCCATGAAGGACGGCTCCCACGCAAACAGCTTCAGAATCTGTTGAGAGATGGTGGACGAGGACAAGGTGAAAACTTGAGGCATGAAGAAAGTATACCGCAGGATGTAAATATGACATAGAGAGTTCAAATGTCTCCAAACAGTAACAGACAAAATAAATTACCTTGATTCCATTGAGCATTTCGTTCATTATCTTCATTCTCTTGTCTTTGAACTTCATGTTTTCTATCTGAAAAGCAGAGGTAAAATACTTCATTATTCATCCATTAATAATGAAGTAACAAAATAGATATCAATATTAATAAGCAATCCTAAGGGGTTGGTAAACATTTATACTCTTAAGTACAAGCATTTATAAAATGAATGCAAGGGTTGATGACCTGAGACTAAATATTATGACTATGATAGGAAACCATTAGCCTTTTGTCAAGACTAAGTCACAACGTAGGCAGATAAGGTTTTATAATGCTTTACTGATTTTGATAATGTCAACAACAAACCAAAAATGTTTTCCTTGGAGCATGATGCTAAAAAATTAGTTCAAACACTTGACTTTATAGGTCCACACACAATAAAGTGTATTGAAGAAAGTTAGTTGGAGGAAAAACTGCTCTTTTTTTTTTTGCTTCAGGACTGGCTTAACAATAAGAATGTGAGAGGTGTGTATGGAGGGTCTTGACCCAATGACCGACTAGGCCTCGTAAATCTACCAGAAACTCAAAAATTCTTGAACTTTGCCTCACTCTTTACTCAAGGCTGCAGTTATCTCTGTTGTTTGCTCATCTTTTCCCAACTCACTTCCTCTCAACTTTCCATCAACATGCGTGAATACTGCGCTCTCTGAACAGAGCTCTGCTGTGTTATGTGTAAATAAGTAGCATAGATATACACACAATGAAGCTACAAAAGTAATTTTCTTTTACTAATTACCTTTTTGCAGCTTACTGGAAGACATAATAATCACAAATTACTAAAGGCTTGAAAATGTTCACACTCTCAGTACTACGTCTTAAAACAAATTACATGAATAAATGTGCATCTTAAACATATTCTAATTTGAGATTAACTTGCTGTATGTTGACTGTGGAAACATTCTCTTTTTATCCCATTTGCTCACCTGGAAATTTCTGGCTTTGGTTGCTAAAAATCCATTAATTGGCACCATTAGCACCATTACTAGCAGCCCAGCTAGTGTTGACGGTCCCAGCTCCAACCACAGGAAAACGATGGACACAATGATCTGCAGAGGGCAGGACCACAGCAGGTGGATGAAGTTGGTCACGTCGTTGAAGCGCTGGGCGTCTGCTGACATGAGGTTCACAGTTTCTCCGACCGTTGACTCTTTGCGGTTGTCGTTAGACATCACCAACGCCTTTGAAAGAAGAGAGCGAAAGGAAAGATGGGGAAAAAAAAACTTAAAGTTTCACTTCATGAGCACAAAAACCAAAGTATAGCATATAGAATATTTATTTGTGCAAAAAGAAAAGCAACTGCTTAAACAGTGCAACATATTGGTTGCTACAATTTTGATAAATATATGTATGCCATATATTTACTGTTTTTTATACACAGACTTCAACAAATTTTCAGAATTAAGACCCGCTGGGTTAGTAGCAGTATTTTTTTGAAGGGACAGTATTATGTTTTTTTTTACAGCCACATAGCATCATTTTATAGCTCAATCAAGTAACTACGTTACCTTCAGTTGTTTTAAAAAATACTGTATATACCAAATATGAATTCAAAGAAATTTGACTTTGTAATTTGGCACCTTGAAATTGAGTGTCTGTCTCTTTAAGAAACTCTTGCTCGTTCTGGCACTACGCCTTCCAGCAGTCATCACAACACTACTCTTCTATTAACCCTTCAACAACGTTTTTACCAGCATCGCACTGCAGTGTAGCGGATATAATGAGCTCAGCAGGTGTGAAGCCCCACCAGCTGTTTTTGCTCCACCAGCTGCTGGCTAGTCTGAAGGAGCTGAGTGGGGGACAGATGATCTGTGAGGCAGAAGCCTCACTGTCCCTTTAAGTAAAAGCTCTGCTGAAAATAATATCCTTTGACCATTCTGCTCTCTGTGTCATAGCACAAATTTAACAAACTGACATTAGCTGGTCAATTAGTTGTGGTATCTGCTCTGGTGGCCACCCTGCAGTCAGTCATATCTTAACAGTTATTCTTTAAAAACCAATAAATATGTTTATATTGGAAGTAAGGCAAAAAATAATTTTTTGGCCAGCTGACAGAGAACAGGATCCTGGGAGAGGTGGGTTGGAGTATCACTCTATGGTCCTCCTACCTGGAAAAAGCTCAGATCATTCTGTATCTTTGCAATCTCATCAATAGAACTATAAACTTCGTAATCTTTTTTTATATATATTGTTTTTTTTTTTGCAGTTTTGAACTTCTGTTATCCAGCCCCTATCAAGCCGTCATTTTGACTGTTACCTTCTTGTACACCGCAGCCATGAGGGCAGTTCGAACCTTCATCCCCAGAACGAAGCATCGTTGGAAATACTGCTGCAAGAACAATGATTGCAGAAGAGCCACCACCAGCAGCAGCACGGCATAAAAATACCCTTCCCAGGCATAGCTGGTTTTGTCCTGAGTGAAGGAGATCATCAACCTGAGCAAGAGAATAAAACATTAACCAACATATATGATGATCATGTGACACTCATAATGTTCTTGAGTATCTTGAAGGCATAGGATTACCTATACCTAGGAGTGTTTTCCTCGCTTACAAATGAGTTTCTGTTTACTTTCGTCTCAAGCTGTCCTTGTGTTATCAGTGGATGTCTCAACTAATCAATGAGGAGTAAATAGTTAAACTATGAAGGTTTAGACATTCACAAGGTCAGACTAGAGCACTGGAACAACTTTGAAGTCATTTTTTTTTTCTGATTAAAAAAATTGAAAACTTGTTTGTATGAGGGTTTTGATTGATTTAGTGGAAAATAAAAAAATCTGGTAAAGTCAAACTAGTGTTAATCGTATTAGGACCTACATAGAAACCTACATAGTGATTAACCTGTTGATTATTTCTACTTACTTCAGGAGTTGAGGACTGGCAAAAGCCAGAAGATCCTGCAGAAGTTTGAAGAAGGCAGATTCAATCAGGAGCCATTTAAATGTCTTGTAGATGGTGGTAACCAGCCATGAATTTGGATAATTTATGTCCTCCTTCTGTTTCTTCTTCTTCTTATTATTATTTTCATCGTCTTTCTTTCCTTTTTCCTCCTGATGTAAAATATGTAAGCACATTCTTTAGGAACCCAACAGCATATGGGGACCACCTGGAACAGAATCAGTGTTGTTGTCGAAAATACAATTATTATTGGGGATTAAAGACGGGTTATTTGGTGTATTTAAAGGTTCTCACCATCATCAGCACATCCTGACTCACACCTTTCCCCAGACCGTTGCTGTGAGAAGGTGCTTCCATAGATTTGCCTTGAGTTTTGATCAGTTTATCCTTCAACTCTTTTTGAAATCGGATCCGAGCTTTACCCAACTCAAACTTCATGTGATGATTGAAACGCTGGGTGATGTAGGAGGTGCTGTCCACCTCGTTCAGCTCCCACATGTCCTCCTGAACCAGAGGGGTTTTGTAGCCTTTCACCACCATGCTGGAAAAGAAAGAAGAAACCTTAGATTGCAGCACAAGAAGTAGCATTATTTAATTTTCCCTTTTAGGGGGATTAATGGAAACCATTGTAAAAGTTCAGTCTATTTACGATTTAATTCATTCATTTGGCCATCCAAGCTCTAGCTCAAATTCTTTCTAAAATGGGGTTGAATTCACCTGTTGATCCAGTTAAAAGTGATTCTACTCAAAAATGCTGCACCAGCCTCTGGATTCTGCAACGCAAAGAGCAGAAAACCAAGACATGGAGGATGTTAGAGGCAAACAAACAAACAAAGAAATAAGGATGGAATTATTTAATATACAGTACTACAAATATACATATAAAGAAGCTATTAACATAAAATTCTCACCAAATATAAAAATAGGTTGTGTAATCCTGTGTCTTCAAACTAGTTATATGTTTCCACCCATTCTTCTACACAAACTGTCTTCTGAAGGTTCTTTGGGTATTTTCTATGTAATCTGAACTTACTCTTTCTTTTTCCTTTGATTTCAATTGGATTCATGTCATGTGATCAACTGGGTTGCTAAAGGCCTTAAATTATTTCTATGAAACCAAAAGAGAGTTGTCTGCACTGTTTGGGATCACTTTCTTGCTAAAAAATCTAAACTTGTTTCATTTTCAGATTCCAATTAAAAATCACTCATTAAATTTCTTCATCTTTCCTGAAATTAAATCCGCAAATACATATTCTAAAAGATGGTGCCCACACTACGAGCAGTAATATGTCAAGCAACAGTCTCCCAGTATTTCATTGTTTTGTCAAATGTTGTGTCGCAAACCTTAAATGAGCTTCAGCGTGCTCATTACGTCTTATGCAGTTTTCACTGATAGGAGAGCGATGACTCTTTGTGTTAGATTTCTGTAATTTGTTGCATCTTCCTTGTTGGTGTGCTCAGAACTTATTCCCGGTTTTGTTGCATTTCACACATAATTCTGCCATTTGCTTTGTTTCAACTTCTTTGTATATAGAATGTGCTTGTGATCACTGGTAACTGGTGTGAATTTCATGACAGCAGCTTCATTAGGAAGACGTTTACTAGTAAATATCTTCGTAACATCTTCCCCAATGTGCTGTAGTGTTTCCATTTCTAAGCAAAAGAAGAAAAACAAAATTCACCTTTTTCACAAGCTCCTTTGTCTCTGGAGAGATGTCAGCCAAAGCAGAGAGAATGAGGGCTATCACCTCCAGACCAAAGGAAATGTAGAAAAGAGAGAAACGAGGGACATCTCTGACCTCTCCCTGGGTGTAAAGATGTTAAAGGGTAAGAGAGATGTTGTATTTAATATTTCATTCAAATATAAACCCATAGCTGATCTGTGGTTGCTCATACCAGCCTAAGGGCTTCCCGTAGGAGGGTCTGGAAAGGGAAAATGTCACAGATGACAAGGAGAAGCCAGAAAAGGAAAAGAGAAGCAGAGTCTACTGCTTTTTCTTTTCGTCTCACTCCTTCTTGACACAACGCCAGGAGGATCTGAAAAACAAAACGTATCAAATCGCAAAACAGTAAATAATCTTTACATCTTAAATATTAGAGCAAATATCTGAACCTAAAACCTAAACTTTACCCATGTGACAGCGAAGAGGACTGGGTTTGTGTAGTGTACAGCAGAATTTTTCTCTGCTGAGCTGTTTCTACCAAAGTCTTCTACTAATGTGACAATCAGGCCTCCAATGGCCGTCAGAAACAGCAGAAACACGACAAGCTGAGGAGGGAAGAGAAAGATCAGACTGATTGTTAAAACGTTTCCATCTCAGCATCAAATACTGAAAGAATCAGAGTGTTTTAATTGTACAATACCTGTTTGCAGAGGTAGAGCTTCGTCCGACGTTTTGTATTCACTTGTGATCTTTTACATAAAGACATGAGGTTCCATGGAGCGCTCAGCCAGAGGAAGCCCAGAGGGATCCAGACCAGAACTGTCTGTTCCAGACATACTGGGAGGTCAGGGTCCTCTCTCTCCAAATAGGACGCATTCTGAGGGACAAACACAAATATGTACACACACGCATCATAAACAGGTATCAGAATAATTGTAATAATCAGACTCGGCTTTACTGGCCAAGCACGTGCACACAAACAAACTTAGACTTTGGTCACTTGTTCTCAGTGTCAGATAATTTAAAATAGAAATATATAAAACTGGTGAGTGGTGTGGGGAGTTTTTGTTGTTTTCTTTTTTTTCATTTGAAAATATGTGCAGCTGTATAGTGTTTTTAAAAGAACACTTTATAGTGTTCTAAAAACAAAATGAACATTGTATAGTGTTCTTTTTGAACACTATACGAGTGCAATATGATATTTGCACTCATGTTTGAATGAGTGCAAATATGCATGCTATTGATCTGGGCTCTCCGACACTCTTCTCATCAGAATCAAAACCTGGGGGAAGAAACTTTGTCCATGGTGGCTGGCTTTTACAAATATCCAAAGGTAAAACTCCAAGTAGTTTATGTCCAGAATGTGTGAGGTCTGTAGGAACGTTGGCTGTTAGTCTCAGACCCTAGACCTGTACAAGTACTGATGGGAAGGAAGGTCAGCCCTGATGATCCACTCTGCACACCTAAATGTTTGCTACGGTGGCTAAGTTAATCCACACAGTGAGGGATGTGCACAGAACAGAATGAATAATTATGTGCAAGATGACCAGCAACTCCTTTGGGAAGTTGTACAGGAGAATGAAGCACTAAGGCAAAAACCAAGGCGCCATAGTAGTTGCCAAAACTCCCAGAGAATAATGACTCACAATTTGAAGCTCTGTTCACAAAAACAAAAAGTCAGAGAAATTTTGTATCCCTCTAGTTTGATTTTATTTATTCATATTTTGATGTATTTCCTTATACAGCCCTCTGTACTGTTTTTTTGTTGTTGTTTGTTTTAATAAAGTGATAATGATACCATTAGGTTGAATTTTTGGTTGTGTGAATTTCTGAATTATGTTGACAAGTTATTTTCTTGAGTAATTCCTGAATTTCAAACTTAATTCAATTTTGTTTGTTTACAGAGCACCAACTCACAACAAAAGTCGTCTTGAAACACTTTACAAACAAGTCATTTCAATTCAATCACAAATCAATTTCAATTGATTTTCAGGATAACATATGCTCGAATGCTTTGTTTAAACACTTTCTTTAAATTGTCACTCTCACTGTAATTTCTAAGGAGAACTGATGTTAAAGTGCGAAGACAAACAAACAACTTTAATTGTAAATGAAATCATATCTTTGAGTTGAGTCATCTTGGTAATGAGTTAAAAACTGTGGCTCTTGAAGCTTTTCAAAAAAATTGAAAAAGTTGCAAAACATTTTTATAATTTGAAAAGAACATGATTCACACACTTGAAAATCCAATCATTCAGATCCGTAACAAGGAGAAGCTCAAAATCACTGTCAGAGTTTTACAACGAGAGGTTGGAGAGTTTATGAGTTCGTTCTGTCAACTGCAGCTTAACGTAGTTTATCAGGTACATACTGTATGTTTGGAAGTTGATTGTAGTTTATTGATTACCAACTACAAATTCTGTTTTTATGTAAATAAACCAACTCTTTAACATTCTTTCATTTATAACCTTTCTTGCCTTTAAATATCTTCATTAACTTCAAAACAAAAAAAAAAACAAAAAAAAAACACTGTACTATGAGTAAAAGAAAAACAGCTGCTGTAATACTGGCGCTCTACTTTTCAGGAGAATGAGCTGCAGTATTAACTTGCTATGGTTCTTGGACTTGTTGAATCATGCCCAGGAAGAGCCTCATTGCAGTCACATAATATGTTCACAAAGGCAAAACATGTCTTTTGGTTTCCACTTACAGTTTGAAAGAAATGACACAAAAACTTTGTCAACTGTGAGGCAGAATGAATTCAAACCTTACTGTGCTTGAATTGTTTTAAATGTTGTAATAAACCCAGAACATTTTAAAGACAAAAACCGTAAACCACACAAGGAAATATAACAAGTTTTATAACAAACGTTTTATTCAATAAAAGTTAGAAAGCAGATGTCTGTACAAGAAGCAATGCTTGCATTCATCCCGAGATAAAAAACACGACTTCACTTTTGAACATCTGTAGTCTGTTAAACTCACCCAGAAGACTGACCCGCAGTACTCCTCCAGAGCCGCAGCACACATGATCCGTTGTGTTAGCTTCACTCGCCTGGCGACGATTTGACGACCAGACTCCTCGTGCCCTCTGCTCCACTGCAGCTGAGCTCCACTCAAACACTGCTGCTCTCTCCTCTGTCCACCCGCAGAACAGAGACAATTTCAGGATGTAGCTACGAAGGACTTTGATCCAGGAACCTTTGAAGCAAAACCAACCCCCCAACAAAAAAAAAAAAAAAAAAAAAAAACAGCTACAAGCAATCTAAACCAACCCGCTTTGTGAAGGTACTTCACAGCATCAACAAAAGTGTTGAGATGCTGCAGCAAAATGATAAAATAAATTCAAATCTGGAGGTTTAATCTTCTAGTGACTTGTTTTGTCCTCAGAGTACTATGATCCAATCCTTTTTGAGATGGAAAACCATACAGATGACCAAGTCTAATTTTTCTCCAGCCCATGTAAACTCCTCTACGCTCATTTTTGTCTGAGGTTTAACTTTGCAAGCAGAGAAGGGTCCATAAGTAATGACAAAGAGGGAGAAGGTGAGAGAGAGAGAGAGAGAGAGAAAAACCTTGCGTAAGTCTGACAGTGCAGTTTTCCATGTGTTGGGGGAACCGCTCTCTAAAAAAGGAAGTGTGTTTAGGAAAAGGAGGGAGGGGTTCATTATGGCCACTTTCCTGTTGTGTTTCCACTTCTCTCCATGAGAAAGAGTCTGGAATGAGGCCAATTATTTTCAGCACTAACATCAGATTTAATTAAATTCTCAACTAACATGACTTGAATAGTAATGAGCCTGATGAGAAACCGTTGTGTTTCAGTCAGACACTGATTAGTCACAGACTTGGGGGTGTGGTCATCGCAGAACCCTTTTACCTCATTCTGTTTTTGTCGAACAGGAAGAGGAGCGGACTTCAGACCCAGAGGGCACACTAAACATTCACACTGTACTTAAAGTGAGATATGTGAGATTAGGACTAGATTAACATCCCTCCATTGTGTTTACAATGTAGAGAAAAGGTAACTGAAGGGGGCCACAAAATTCTTCCACACTGCAGATGACGGAAATTAAGAGCTGCTCTGATTTATTCCTAATAGGCTATTATTATTTTGCCAAAATATTGGTTGTCAGGAGACCATTGAGAATTTTTCACCATTTTTGTAGAAGCGCGTTTGTAAAGTCAGAGCCTAATGATGGATGAGGAGGCCTGGCTCGAAGTTTCTAATTGATCCCAAAGATGCTTTGTCAGGCTGATGTCAGGACTCTGTACAGACTTTCTGCACGCCAAAAATCACTTATTGATTTGCCAATCATGTTACTAGAGTAAAGAGTGCATCTCTAGTAAAAAAAAAAATGGAGCTCCAAGTTAAAAAAAAGAGTTACTTTGTTACATGTAATCAAATTACATTTGTCAAACTTAATTTATTTATGTTTGTATTACAAGAAAACTTAGTATTTTTAACTTTTTAAAATTAATTTTAAACTTGTAACAAATTAAAACATTTTCAAGTCGGGTCACCTGTTTTCTTTTTTCAGTGACTAAACTGAAGGAAAAAGTCTTGGTATGCTGTAGCACTAAAACATTTCACTGAAACTAATGAGTCCAACTCTTGCATGAAGGCTCCACACCATAATTATCTCTACACTGAACTTGACATTTGACACAGTGGAAACAGGGAAGTACTGTTCTGCTTGAAAACACCAAACAAAGTTTATTCACTGGAATGCCAGACAGAGAAATGATTGGTCTCTCCAGAAAACACGTTTCCACTGCTCTAATGTGGAAACAGCATCCTTCTCCTTGGATGTTGTTTCCAAGGTAAAGCAAACAGCATCCTTTACCATGGACTTGGTGGTTGCAAGATTTCAACCATGAAGCCCATTTCATGATGCTCTTTGAGATAAACTCAATGCCATATAAAGTTGGAAGTTCTGCAAAAAGCTGTGACCGTTGCACACCATGTACCTCAGCATCCGCTGACTCTGCTGTGACTTACTGAGGCCTTCCACTTTGTGGCTAAATTGCCGTCATTCCAATTCATGTCCACCTTGTAACACTACCTTCACGGAATCACTGTAGAATACCACCAACAAGCAGCCTGCATGCATAGGGGATGGATTTTATGGTGAAAATATATATATATAAGTTCAACCCAAGAGAAATGACACAGATGTGCAAATAAGACTTTGTCTGTATGGGTAAAGAGAGGAAAATAATTCAAAAAACGGTTTTCCTAAATTTAACTTTGAGTTGAATCAACTCACGTTTTTATTAGATTGCTTTAAAGCTTCATCAAATGCTTAAAAGTGGACAAATTAGTTGCACTTGATTCACTTTAAAAAGAAGAAGTTCCAACTATAGACATTAGATACCAGCCTGATAATAATCAAGTGTAACTGAAAGATAAATGAAACTGTAAAATGGACAATAGATTGAATTTAAATAGTTCTTTCCTAAGTCATACTGACTACTTAAAGCACTTAACACTATTTACTCAGTCGCACTGACAAACGTGCATACAAACATCCTTAAAAAAACAACAACACTGTCCTACTTAAGAAAAAATGTTTTTTTAGTAATTTGCTAGATTTCAACTCTTTTGTTGTTTGTACTGCAAAAGTTCACGAAGACAAGCACTCGTGATTTAGGTGATTTTTCTTTCCGGAAATATGGGCAATTAAAAAGTTCACAATCATGCAGGCTGCTACCATTAGCTTATTATCAGTGTCTGACTGGCACTGGTGTTATCAGAGCTGATAAACAACTCAGTGCACAAAAACAACCCCAACTGATCTTATTCAAAATAGATGAATACTTTTTATTACCAATGAGCTATATCTGTGTGACGGAAAGGTTCTTAAAGTCCATCTCTGTAAATATAGTCTCAAATGCAATTAGATCATATGCGTGTGTGTGTGTGTGCGTGTGTGTGTGTGTGGGTGGGGGTTCTGACTATCTTCAATGGCCATGAAAGAGATGACTCCTACTGTGTTGTAGGTAATCATTAAACATTTACTAATTTCACATGGGCATAGTCATGCTGACTCAATATTCTTGCAGGACAGCAACGTGACACCAATACATGATAAAAAAATACTATATTCACTGTTCTAAATACAACTACGCTGCTGCTGCTGGTAGGAATGTGTTTAGAGGTCATTTTAGTGTAATGTGTCTTGTTTTAATCAATCTTGAAAAAGAAACTTAACTTAGAAACTGGACAGTAATTAAATGCCACACTTCAATATTAGCCTGCATAGCCAACCAAAAGAGGCATATCATCATTAACAAGTTAAAGTATAGTTTTGTTTTGGGGTATTTTAGGTCACAAATGACTAATAGTTTTGTTAAATATGAGAGGGTTGAGATTAACGTTTTAGGCAACTTTTTGCTACATATAGAGACTTTAAACTTTGTAATAACATGGGAATAACATATATGTTTTTTATATTTAGCAACAGCATCATTACCATCTTGACCTCTTGTGCATCCCTAAAGTCACACAATATAAACTGTTTAATGAATGCCTACAAAGGTGTGTAAATGTGAGTTGCAACTTTGTGAAAGTCAGTGCACACTTGAAAAGAAAAAAAAAAAAAGCAAACAATTTTCTTTTAACAAATCAGCATCTTAGTTCATCTTCTCCCTCTACGTTGTGAACAAATTCAAAAGCTTGATTGGGTTTTTTGACAATTGTGAACAACTTGAATGTATGTACTTGAATTTAAATATGTATAATTAGACTGAATTGGCTTTTTTTGTAAAATTGGCATGTTGTGAATTGGCGCTATATAAATAAACCAGATTGAAAGGATATCTTTTTTTTTTTCTCAGATCCAGAGATCTGATCATGTTTATTACTTTACAAATCAAACCCAGAGTTTTAAAACTCTCCACACATCTTAGCTCAAAATTGGTTCGATTAAAATATGCAAAACACAATGGTATCAGAACGAAACAGCTAAATGAAAAATCAAAACCAGAAAGGAAAAGAACACAGCTAAGGAAACAAAACAGTTCCAACATTGCACTGAATGTACTTTCTTTCAATTGTTCAACTGTTTTATGTTCTTTTGTAGTTTTATGACTCTTTGTTTTTTAAATACTTTTTTCCAGTTTTCCCATAATGTTGTGCGAAATGCTGTTCTTTTTGTGTTCTGCACGTACAAACACACCTGTGAATGATCCACAGCTTTCTGTTCGGGAACAAACCTTCATTAACAGCATGTAAGACAGCAGTGCTTTCCCTGAGCTGCAAAAGTACACACACTGTTTAAATGTTAATGCTCTGATTAAAGAAAACTAACACTGAGGCCATTTGAAAATGAATGTATGAAAAAAAAACCAACTGTTCATCTTTTTGAGGTATCACAAGGTATTTTTGGCGATTGCATTCAGACTCCGGACTTTGCTGGCATCTGCCACCTTCAGGCCGTACTCAGGCGCTGCTATCGTAGCTCCCATCGTTACGCAGGAGTTCCTGCACGTAAAATGTTTAGAAGCATTTCACTAAGCTTTTGCGTTTTGAGTTTGTTGGCAATTATTTTGTTAAGTGTAGTAGAAACATGCTCAAGTAAGCATTATTTAGGGCTGGCTTTAAAACAGACCTGAATTTCATTGCAGAGTCTCTGCTGGAGCGAGCTGAGCAGTGAAACTCCTCAGCTCCAGAGCCCTCCAGTATTCTCTGCAGGTTCCTCTCTGTAATGCCACCACCTGTCATTTGAAGACATAAAAGAAGAAAATGAGAAATTAATAAATGATATATGCAGAAAGCAAAGCGAGAAAAATGGGGGTACTGACCTGGCATTACGATTATCCTCCCTTTGGCCTGTTAAGAGCAGATCGCAAAGTCAGAATGATTCTAACAACACAGCCATTTTTGAACATTGACTAAACACACAGTTAAGCCCAAAATCATTCATGCCACAGGCAATTTTTAAGTCACAAAATATTTTTGTTCAAAAAAAGGGTTTAGGAATTTAAGATAGGAAACATGGCAGATTCCTATAAAAATATGATTCAAAGAAGTATCAGATTTCACTTTTGTTTATATTTTATTCAAACAAGACACATCAAAAAATATTTATAGTCTTTTCCATAGCCAATGGAAACAGCGTTACTGTAATTAACAGCAATCACACCCATTTTATAATTGCTGTTCAGCTTTTTGCACATTCCTTTGGCCTGCTATCTTTGGTGATAAGCTCCAAAACTTTGAGGTTGAAAGGCCTCCTGACTATCATCACCATAATATTGAAATATCAGATTCAAGGTGGGGCTATGGCTGGGTAACTCCAAAATGTTATTACTAGGAGTCAGAAGAAACATGTTGGTAAAATCTAAATCTGACAATGTATGAATAATTATGGACTCAAGTGTACTAGGGAATAAAAAAGCCCAATAATTACACACAGATGAAAATTTTAAAGCCTTTTTTTCTGTACATTATGACGCAGATTTAATTACCTTATAATTATTATAAAGGTATTGCAGCAATCAGGTTCTGTTGATCATCACTGATTAACTGGTCATCAGGAAGTGGAAGCACTTCTAATAAAGCAGAGCTGCCTGTGGATATTAAGGGAATATCAAGGAGGAAAAAGACACTAGCACTGATCTAAGGAACGCGATTCTTGTTGGGGAGAAATTTTAGGTCATTTCCAAACTATTTGAAGCCCATCATTCTGCAGTGGGCTCTTTTCACCCGAAATTAAATCAACAAAAGAAGTTACTACTCTGTATACGAATGCCAATTCTAATTATTTAACTGAGGCTCCACAGCTCTTACTCCAAGAGAATAATAAAAAAAAACTTATCAAGTGAATATTAAGAAAAACGTTTTGAAGTACTGATCAACATCTGATCAACTGCCAGCAAGGTTTCTAGAGCTTCTGTAACACATACTTGATCGATGAGCCGTTTAATAACGGGCAGCCCCTCCAAAGCCGAGCTGTCGCAGCCACTCGTCAGCACCCGCTCGAATCCTAACGATATCAGAGTCTCCAGAGCAACTGCTGGGTCGTAGGCCATGTCAAAAGCTGCAGGAAGATCAACACGACATCCAGGCGGAGAAGTTAGACTCACTCTGAAATCTGTATTCCTCGAGATTCTAATAAAGAGTTCTCTATTCTGCTGAGGATCTGTGATATTTCTTTAGGTGCGAATGCTGGGAGTTGTTTAGCAAGTACGGTTACCTCGATGGAAGGTCAAAGGCAGAGGACGAGCAGCAGCTGGGGAGCAGGAAGGCACAGAGCATCTTATTAGCAGCAGGAAAATTGGCAAGTTTCCAAATTTAATTTGAGCTATTGTTGACTTTTTTTTTTTCATTTTAATAACCTGCATGCCGAGAAAATTGGTTTGTCACATAGCTTTGCAGATTAAAAACTGGTGCCGCACAAATATGCAGAACGGACGAAGCCTGTAAAGCATCAACTCTGTGATAGAGAAAATAACTCAGAAAAAATGTCAAATCCATCCTACAGTGTCATGTCGAAACACATCAAATATAAAACAGGCTGTAGAGAAGAGCATTCCTTTTTTTTCCCATAGTGATGGCCTAAAATAAACTAGAGTCATGGCTCTCAGTTGGATCAAGAGCAGGCTATTGATCTGCTCCCTTCCTACTTTCATCATGGTGGGTCTTTGACAGCTAGTCTCATCAATAATTGGCATCTTAATGGAAACTCCAACACAAAAGTGGGAAAAATACAGCATTTGGACATGTAATGTTAAAAATTAAAATAAAATTTAAAAAAAGCTATGCCTGATTTTGTTTTCATTACTTGTGCTACAGCAAGCCTGTTTGTAAAGATTTATGAGGACATTTTATACCTCAATAAAGCAATTCAGATGGATATAAAGTCCTCCCTTGACTGTTGACAAAGTGAAAAGCACTTCCACCTACATCCTAAAAAAAACTGCTGACTCGTCATGTAAGTTAATGAAAATGGCCATTCTTGAAGATTTCAACAAAGTTACAGCCTTTAAGATTTGCCTCTTAATTATATTTCTTAATTTCTACAATGTTATTTGTATTATATTAGCCATAGCTTCCACAAACAGACAACAGCGGTTTGATCTAGAATAAAACTCTCAATCAGCTGATAGCAGACTCTGTGCTTTCCACGCATTGATGATGAAAAACCTAAAAGCTGCCCAAGAGGAACGTCATGGTCCAAATCTATTTATATCAGTAAGACTGCAATTCTGACACCAGCTTTTGGGCCGTTTATGCTCATATTTTGTCTCCCCCTTCTGGCAGTCAGTTTTAACACACATTGTAAATGCCTGTTGCAAACATACACGCTGTAAAATTTGAAAAAAAGTTTCTACGTACTTCAATCTCCTTTGCTGAGAACACCGAGCCATAATAATATGCCTTATACAATACTCCTATAGGACAATTACATGGTTATATTCAAATTGTTAAAACATTTTTTTTCCTTACTTATAATACATCCTGTAGTTGGGAGAAATTATAGCATTTGTTAAAAACTCTGGGAAAATCCAGGCCCCTACTGAGGGCCTGTTTCAAAAACATTTCACAAGAAGTGCATCATTTTCACTGCATGATGTATGCTTCAGCATTTGTTTTGTGCTAAGTCATACGAGAGCAGTTTTACCTATGTAAACTGATGTATTCTCTGCTCTAAAGATATAATGTTATGTTTTAAAGGTCTAAAATGACAATCTATTATGATGTAAAAAAAAAAAGGTCCATTCAGGTTTGGTTGGGTTACTTCAAAATATAAGCTTGGTATAGTGAGACCATTTATGTTGATCAATTGTGTGCTTTTTGTTGCTGTTGTGCTGAAAGATGCTTTCTAGCAGAAGCCTGAAGATTTTATGCCAATGCTGACTGTATTTAGATAATTGATTTCAACTTCACTAAGTGAACTTATTGGAAACTTTTTCAAGAAGTTCCACCATGGTTCCAGCAGACCATAGCACATTTTGCCACATCCATTTGAGAGATTTAGCCAAGCATGGACAATCTTCTTAGTAAAAACAGACATACGCCATACATATGTCAAAGATGGAGGATTATTCTCACTTCTTCTGCAAAACCAAATAAAATAGCCAGAAATTTAACAGTTGCACTACTTTTTTGATCCACTCGAAGCTGACTATGTTCAATATGTTCTATGTAATTATGATTTCCTATTTATAGGTGGTGTGCACCAAAAAAGATTTTAGTTTCATTCTGTTTTATTTAAGGTCAAATGAAAGGTGGAAAAAGTTCTGAAGTTATTTATCTTGGTCTTATTTTTCTACAGTCCACCAACTAGTTATTTTAGCAGCGGTGTATAAACTATTTACATCAACTGTACCTATCAGCTCCATGCAGAGACCTGCATCCACCCCTCCAGTCTCTGTCAGGGCGCCTACCACTACACCATCTGCTCCCTGCGTCTTCATCAGCTCAATGTCCTTCTTCATCACCTCCACTTCTTGGTCAGAATAAAGGAAGTCCCCACCTCGAGGCCGTATCATTACATAGACTGGAATTTTAATATATTGCTTTACCACCTGTAGAAGACCTGCAGCAAAAAAAAATAAGAAGCAAAAGAATTGTGATTATGCGGCTATGTAAGCTACAGAGTTTCTAGGACGAATCTACAATGTGCAGCTCACCAAGGCTGGGAGTGAGACCTCCCTCCATAAGACTTGAACACAACTCCAGTCGACCAGCACCTAAAAGGACAGAAAAAAAACAAAACAAAAACAACTGTCAGGAAAAACTTCAAAGCCTTTAACCTTTGCGAATTAAAGCAACTCTGCACATTAACTTAACAATGACTTCTGACATGACTAAAGCACAATACCTGCCAGAAATAATATAGACATGTTTGAAACACCACTAAAATGGAGTCAGCAATTTGCAACCTTTGACCTTGCTTTTAAGCAGGGCTAGATTTTAAGACAGGGAGATAATATGGGTTTAAAAATATAAAGCAGAGCAAATTGCGCTATTCTTCACTGACCTCCTCGCTCAGCATTGACAGCAGATTCCACGGAATCCACGCATACCTCCAATAAAATGCTCTGTGCCATCATGAATTTCAGGCCAAGGGAACGCTGAAAAGGGATATAGACATAGCATTCAATTTTTATTTTTTTTTTAGTAAACAAGTTTACAAGCATGTAAACTTTTACTAGTTATAACTACCACATGTACCTTTTCCTTTTCCTATCAACAGAAGGAACCCGAAAGAATGTTTTGAGTGCGATTCAGAGTCAGGACATATTTTTGTGGGAGCCAAGCGCTACAATGGATGACCAGTTTCCGGTTTGTTGAATTTAACAGTCGCTTTATTTGTGCGGGCGGGCCTATGTTTACAGTGTGCTACCAACATCTCTAGATGGCGTGAGACCGCCCATGCGAGATACGCTTATATGATAATACTTACAACACTCGGGATCGCCGTTACGGATTTTTAAAATAATAGATAAGACGTGTTTATTAACTAGTTATAATTTCGGATGAGCGTAATAGTTTGGCCAAACATTAATTACATTTAGCCATGGACGTTAGCTTGATACAACCATACATAAAAGAGTGAAAACATCGCTTTTGTTGCCCTGTAGAAACAACACGTACTCGCTTCCGCCATATTGGTAAAGGCAGGTTTGCCTTGACCAAAATACTAACGAGTATGTTTTATCGTAAACAACAATACACATATATTTTAGTACCAATTACTTCAGTCACTTATATAAAATTAACAAATCTGCCAATTAAAATAGGACATACCAATGAATACAAAACAAAATGTTTTTGAAATTTACCCAAAATTGCCTAAATTTTTTCCTGAAAGAAAAAGCACAAATATAACATTGATTTCGTTTTAGTTCTTCAAACCAGAGAAATATTTAGTTTAACTGTTTTGTTTGCCTAAGCCATTATTTGGAGGTAGATGTGAAACATGTTGAACTTATTGCCCAGGTGCAAGTTAATTAAAAAAAGAAAATAGAAAAAAGAAAAACAGTAGATTTATTACATGTTATAGTAAAAATGTTAAAATTATGTTTTCATTTTTTCTTGAATCAGCCCTGTTTATTAAGAATAAGGAATGACCATGCTTTTTGTGGGGCTGCACAATTTCAGAAACATGTTTCATTACTATTAATAAAAACTGCAATGATGATATCAACAATAATCCTCATTTTCTACTTTTTTCTTCCCCACAACACTATGTCCTCTCTCTTCTTCATAATCTTTGTCAAATTCTCTGGTTCCATACATTAAGGGAAATAAAAGCTCATTCGGTTGGCTAAATAGATTACATATATGCAGAGAATGAATGCCAGAGACTTGCAGTGCTACGTCCTTCCAAAGATTGCATTCTAGAAGTATGTGGTGATTGAAACATTGCACCCAAATATAATGCAATTACAGTGGAGTTTCAATATTGTGCAACTGCATTTGTTCAAATTATTTATCAGGACATTGTAAAGTCCAGATGGCATTGTTTAAGTGAAGTGTTTTCTTGCTAAAGACAAATGCATTTGTCTTTTACAGTGATTATAGCTTCCTTCTTGCAAATTAAACAGGGAAAAAATCTACTTTGTTTATATTACACAATCTCCATTGTCAAATAATTGGCACACCTGTTGTCAGATGTCAAATAAAAAAATTAAAAAAAACTTTCCTTCAAACTTTATTTTCAACATTAGCTTTTCTGCGAGAGTACATTTACCTTAACATATTTGCGTTTCTGACCATTAGCCAAAGGTCTGCCAACCCTTTGGCAGTTATCACACTCTGCAACCTTTTGGATAAAGAAAGAATAGGTATAACAAAATGAACAAACAATACTTGATGTTGCTATTATAAGAGGCATACCCATTTATCCACATCCACAGATATGCCATGCCAGTAAAACTTGGTGCACATAGCCGACCTTGTTTTCACAATTCCCATGTGTAAACCAGTAGGAGAAATGTGAAACTCTTTAAAAAGTTCCTTTGCCTCCTCCTTGGTTTTAACGACCTTTCTGTTTCCAAAGTAAAGTTCTCCTTCTAAACAAAATAAATATGGCTTTAATGAAAGAGGAACATTAATAAGACATTAGATATATGCACACTAGTGTTTTAGATACTAACCCTTCAATGTGAATTTGGTGGCATATCTCCTGAGGTTTTGCCTCTGAGATTTCCGAAACTCCTCTGGGAAGGATCGTTGGGAAAGATAGAAGAAAATCTCTTCCCACTTTCTTTCCATCTCTTGAAGAAATGCAACAATAGCTAGTTATTTTCAATAGTTTCAGTAAAAAAGCAATAGGTGAAAAATGTTGATTCACTCAACAGTCACTCTACATAAACAGCATATTTTTGTTTTATACATGTGTGGGTTCAACTGTGAATGCAGGATGTCAACTGTGTTTTGCAATAAAATACACTCAGATAAAGCGTAATGGCACCATCAGTTAGATATGTAGAAATATAAAATGTGTGTGAGTGCATCTGTACATTTTACAGGTATGAGTCGAGTTCAACAATTAAGATGTTGAACGTAGTGCTGTGAAGTAAATTTTATGTTAAAACGGCTTGCCATACCCCTGTTAACCTCTTATTGACAGCAGATTGCCGTTTGAATACCTCTCACACAAACAGAAATTTGTGCCAAATCACTCACCGGCTAACTGTCGACATCTAGAGATGCCTAATAAAGACTTTTACTGAATGGAAACTGTAGCTAAACACGGCCAAAGAAGCGTTTCGAGCATGGTTTGGAGTGATTCACCAGCTTTAAAAAAAACACGGCGAAACCTATCTCGACGGGAGAACTCAGCTCGACATATCAGTTAAAATCATCAAATACACTTTCAGGGACAAAAATTAAAACAATTCATCTTGATAAATGACAAATAGAAATTTATAGGAATACATTACAAGACATAAATATGAGATAAGTTGAGCAATAAATACTTTATACCTCTGTGCAGTAAGGACAGTTCGATAAATAGTCGTCGAGGTAGGAGGTACTGTAATCTTGTTCTGCGCATGCTCAGGAAGTAAGGACCAGACAAAAAAAATTAAAGAAACTTTATTATACAAATGACAAGTACAACAAATGAATGTATGAAGAATATAGAATACAACACTAATATGAGCAAATAACCAGGGCTGCCAATTAAACGAATACGTGCGTAAATTCACACATGTGAATTGCTTTGAAATATTTTTGTTGGTAAAATCTGATACTGATTTTATATAGATCCGTTTTATTAGCACATATACATTCATGAATATACAATTTAGGTAGAAGAGTTAGCATTAGAATTAATGAAAAAAAACCCAACACATTTATCATAGTTTTTATGGATTCTAAAAAACAGAACAGAACATTTTCCCTCAGGAGGTAACTTGTTCAACTCCTATGTGTAAAGTTACAAAAAAGATCTGTCACAGTTTCTGGATGATCCCCACAGAAACTGCTATTAATTTTTATGTCTCTTTTAACAGCTGAGCCACCAGAATCCCACTCAGAACACAAGTCTCAAGAAATAGATGTCTTTTTAAATAAAATATCTGCAACAGATGAAGTATTTGTGTGGTGAGATAAAGTTGTTTTTATATGACGGTCCACGTTAAGATGAGCTGCTTATAGAAGAATGAAAGTTTTCAAAGAGTTAAACTTTGTAATTATAATTTTAAAAATACATCCACAAAATTCCATCACAAAACAGTTCTAATATGGTACGGTTTTACCATAATTAAGAAACATGCAGCCAATATTAAGAAATTTGTTAATTTTATTAACCAGACATAAAGAAACAGAGAGAGAGAGAGAGAGAGAGAGAGAGAGAACAATTTATTAATTAGATATCATTGGTTTCTGCTTGTTGTTTTTATTTTTTTTATTTTTAATTAACTGACTTCCTGATTACTTCAACGTGACGTCTGTCGACGTCAGCGGGTTAAAGTTGAGCCGGTGTGCGCATCACCAGCATTACCAAACCAGTCTTGTTGCAGCCGCAGTTCACCTTTAGGACAGAACTGTAATACCATAGGAGCTCAGGGGAACACAAAGAATCTAAAATGCTACTCTCGAAGTTACGGACTACGATATTTTGTGGTTGCAGATATGCTGGGAAGGGTTTTCAACAGAACAGCGTAAGTTGAGCTACGTTCAGTTGCTATTTGTGGCTAACCTAACAAGCTAAAGGAAAAGGTCGCAATAACAACAGATTTGCGATGAGCATCTATGAAGTCAGGTTGTTTTTTACTGAAATGCATCTTGGACACATTTTACATTAACTTAATATTGACCAGTAACGCTGTGAAGTCACGTATCATTATGATATTGCATCACTGACCTTCAGCCGCATTGTTGTTACTGTCAAGGTGGAAAGTAAGCATCATATATATATCTCTGGCGACGTTACACCTGCTTGGATGTGTTTTCTGAATAGCCCTGGGTATTCTGAAAGGAAGGCATTTGAAAATACACGTCAATATAAAACCTCCAATAGGCAAAAACAAAAAGAAAGAAAAACTAAACAAAACAAACTTTTTTTTTTTTACACCAGTGCTTCCATAAAACCACTGTGAACTTCACAAAACCTGGTAGTAAGTCAGAGTCTTTTTATATGAGGGAAATAAAGATTTCATTCATGAAATATTCTTTGAAACTAGTCTGCGTTGTGTTGTTTCTTTACAACTTGAACGACACCTCAAATTAAATTAAATCATAATATAGAAGCTATGCCTATGTTTGCTTTCTCTTCTTTATTTCCAGCATCAGCGTCCACAGCTGCGACAATGGCTTGTGAGGAGAAACCAGAGCTCCATCACTGTAGAAGCAGGGCCGCCCTCCACCCCAGCAGTAGCTGTACCCAACGCAGCAACAAACCGCATAGTGGGTCGCTGGTTGCTCGGCTGCAGTGGGCTTGTGGTTGGGGCGGTGGTCTTGGGTGGTGTCACAAGGTAAAAGTAACTTAACTATCGTCACTGGTTTTGTAATTGTTTGAAATGCAATAAGTGCTGATGTGCGTCTGTGTTGTTTTTTTTATTGTTGTTCAGGCTAACAGAGTCTGGACTCTCAATGGTTGACTGGCATCTGGTGAGAGAGATGAAACCACCTCAGTCTGAGGCCGAGTGGGAGGCCGAGTTTTCCAAGTACAAACAGTTTCCAGAGTTCAAAATGTACGGCTTATTTCTTTTTCTTGTTTTAACATTACAAGGACAGTTTAAAGACGCACTGAAATCTTTTTTACATGTGTGTATATATATGTGTATATATATATATATATATATTAGCAGAGTAGAAATGTATTCTGTTTTTTTTTTCTCTTTTTCTTGATTTAATATGTAATCTAGTTTTTTTTATAACTATGTAACTAAATGAAGGTTTTATTTTGCAGCCTTAACCATGAGATGACTCTGCCTGAGTTTAAGTTCATCTTCTACATGGAGTGGGGTCATCGCATGTGGGGCAGGCTTGTTGGACTAGCATACATCCTGCCTGCCGCGTACTTCTGGAAAAAAGGATACTTCACACGTTCCATGAAGGGAAAAGTGCTGGGGCTGTGTGGATTTGTGTTCTTCCAGGTCAGACATCACTTATTTATCTTAACATCAAGATAAAATTGTCTTATTTATTCAGTTAGTAAAGTTTTCCACAAAGGTTTGCAAATTGTCTCCGAATTGAAGTGTATTAATCTCGTCAGGGTCTTCTGGGCTGGTACATGGTAAAAAGTGGGCTGGAGGAAAACCCTGAATCCCACGATGTCCCGCGGGTCAGCCAGTACCGTCTGTGTGCTCATCTGGGTTCTGCCCTAGTGCTCTACTGTGCTAGTCTCTGGACCGGGCTTACTCTGATGCTGCCTGCACATAAGGTAGAGTTTTGGTCTCGTTTTTTGTCTTAACTTTGTCTTGATCTATTTGATGTAAATAAACAATTTCTAGTTGGATAATATTGTTTTTTTGTCCCTCTTATTTCATCTACTTCCTAGATGGCAGACTCTAAACGTCTCATGCAGCTCAGAAAGTTTGCAAAGGGAACGGGTGGACTGATCTTCCTAACTGCTCTCTCAGGTGATGCTTAAAATAAAAATGTCCATTGAGGAAAACAATAGAAGTACTTTCAAGTGCTTGTGTTACTTAAAAGCAGTGCTAAGGTTAAAAAAAACAGAGCCTGTTCAGTGAATACATTTTAAGAAGGTGTAGTGAATACTCCTAAAGGAGATAACTGGCAAGGAAAGGTTAAGGTTTTTTGTTGTTTTTTTTCCCTTTCATACCAGACGCAGAATAAATCTGCTTCAAAATGTTATTGACTATTCATTAGGTTGCTTTATTCTGTGTACTGTTTGGCAAAAGAGATTTCAGTGAATGCAATTTGAATATCAGCAAATTGGGAGCTAAATGTGTTTTTGTTGTAACTCTAGTTTGACTGAACATCAAACATGTTAGATGTGTAACAGTTTTGCTGATGTTTGTGTTTTGAAGGTGCCTTTGTTGCTGGTTTGGATGCTGGCCTGGTGTATAACTCATTCCCTAAGATGGCAGATAAATGGATTCCTGATGATATACTGGCCTTCTCTCCGGCACTTAAGAACATCTTTGAAAATCCCACCACAGTGCAGTTTGACCACAGGATTTTGGTATGTTGTCTTTGGTGTATTTCAAATTCAGTACAATCTGAATGCCGGTGAATTAATGCAGTGATGTGCTAACCTTCTTTTCAATCTTTTTCTTCATATTTTAGGGGATTGGCTCTCTGACAGCAATCACCGGCCTTTATCTGTTCTCAAGGAGGATGATGCTACCCAGAAGGGCTAAGATCGCCATCGGCCTGCTTGCAGCAATGGCTTATACACAGGTATGCTTTCAGGCAGAAATTTCTACAACACAATGGTGCAATTATATGTCACTATAACTAAACGTGATTTTTCTGCTCATTAGGTAGCACTCGGTATCAGCACACTTCTACTGTATGTTCCTACTCCATTGGCAGCAACTCACCAGTCTGGATCCGTCGCTCTTCTGACTTTTGCCATTTGGGTTCTGGCTGAACTTCGTAAAATGCCAAAGTAAAGCCTTCTCCTTTGTGGACAAGCCTGTTTAATCACATGACAAGTCTTAACTGGCAATAAAAAGAAGCAACAATGGAAGAAGAGATGAACCTCATTTGACAATAGGGTGTTATTTATAGGTTTTTTGAGGCTCTTGCTCATGAACAGACTCTAAAACTAAATGGGGGGCCACAGAGTCGGGGCCCCATATAGATGTCATGATGCAGTATGTTGCGGCTTGGGACAGAGGTTCAGGCAGACGGTGGCGTGGTGTTTTGTTTTTATTTCTCATCTTAACACCCAGAGATCAACAGTTTGACTCGGAAGTTCAGCTTTGTCCCAACTCAAAAAACCATCAAAGGAACAGGACTCGCTTCTTTAGAACTAAACTAGATTCGGAGCTACTCCTCTCCTACTCACACGAACACAAGAATGATCCGACGAGGATCCCGCGCCACCACAAGGTGCGCGCGGACTTAAAAAACAAAGGGAACAGGTGAAGGAAGTTACTAATCAATGGGAGACACATGAGGGTAAGAGAAACTAAGGACCAGGGAAACAACATGGAACACAAAATAAACCCTAAACGTAGCAAGAGAACTCAATAAAAACACAGAAAAAACCCAAACATAACTGACACAGTGACAATAGAGACCTCGACTCCTCCTCGGCCCATTTCCTGTCTAATCATACCCAATAGCAAATTAAAACACAAAAAATAAATTCTTGAACTTTTTATTTATTCTTTTTTTTTACCATGTAAATACTCACTATTGTTTACAGCCTGGTTGGCTTCTCAGTTTTTACACTGGTTGCTAATTGAAATCTTATTGCTTCAGATAACATAATTAGATATAATAAAGTTTTGTCCATATTTTTCTGAAAATGAATGTAATTGAGTAAAATGTATTCAGAAAAGTGTAATCAATGTTTGTAAAGAAAGCTTGTTGAGTTTGTATAAAAGAGAACGCAAAAAAAACAAAACAAGGATCCTCTTGTTCTGTTATTTGTTTCTGTTTGACTCGCCTACTTCTGAGATTCTTGGGAAGGTTGATCAAATTCCTACTGTAACTAATTGGAACATATGTAATTGTGACATTCATTTTCTTGTGACACTAAATTTCTCTCCAGAAATTAAATTTAGAATTTCACCACATTAGATAAAAAACAAGGTAAATATAACTATAATTTGCGGGTCTCCACAATTTTAGGAGACCCGAAGCATTCTAATTCAGTGGATATATACAATAAAATTATTGCTTTTTTATTTTTTTTTTTTTTTTTTCTGTAAGAATGTAATGCAATTGCACTAAGATGGGGCAAATGATTGTGCTAATATACATCTGTAATGAGAAAAAAATGACTTGAAATGCTACATAAGTCTATAAAAGAAAGCTCTTTAGAACAACCACCAGATTTTTATCAATGGGTTAATATTCCCTGGTGGAAAAGACTGACAGGTCTATATGGGTACATGAACGGAAAAGACATTGATCACCAAAATAAGCATTTGCTCTGAATTTCTTGCAAATACAATGAAATTGCTGTTTTCATAAGTGGTTAAATCTCTAAAAAAAAAAAAAAAATCCCAACAAATGACTGAGAAAGCAATACATTGATTGATCATCTAGGTTACAGTGTTGGCAGTGTTGTGTGGCTAGTCTGATCCATTTCCTGATGATTTTGTATAAAAAAAGAACTAGCCTAAGAGTTTTTCTACAGTAATAAAATCTGTTGTTGCTGAAAATGGGGCATTTCGAACATTTTATTTTTCCTTTATTTACTATATAGTTTCACGAGTATAGGAATGAATCAGTAATGAAATTCTAAAGAGACAAGAATGTGGAGTCTTTGAAATTCAAATTTCATCCCATGTTGCATAGTAACTGATTTTTATTATCTCTGTACAAAATATACACATTTTGAATATGTAATGCAACCAGCAGCTAGCTAACCGGACAATCATTACAACATGTAACTTTTCATTGCTCTAGACACAGTACATGCGGGTATAGACAGGTTTTACTGTAGTCAGGAACCTAAGAACTGAGCTGAAACACTTTTCTAGTAAAATAAAAAGTACTGCATGTGTAAACTATACCACAGAGTTAGGAATGTTTGAAAGAAAATAATTAAAAAAAATGCAGTTCCTTTGAAGGAAGTGAGAGATTGGGTGGAAATGGAAAGGTACTGTGATGGAGAACATTATTGCTATTCCATGTTAGGTTCTCTGAATTAATGTTTCAGTGCCTCTGGTAACAAGGTGTTGGAGCTCAGTGATGTTCTGGTATAAAAAGAGGCAAATTATATGGTAGCTGTAAACATTTTTAAAGAAATATTCATAACAGCTTATCATGCAGGTTCACAACCTTGAGTGACATTGACAGTGAGCAGGCAAAACTGCATACCTTTACCTCTAAGTGCTTTTTGCCTCACTGATTACAGTATCTCATATCCATTAGACTCACATTTGTCTAATATTTCCTCTTTGGTGGCAGAAATATGGATAATAAGAAAAGGGAAATGTGGCGGACATGGGGAAAAAAAATCAAAACATCCATATTCATCATATTGTAACTCTGCAAAAGCTAAATAGCCTTTTATTCAAAATAAACATGATTTTGAAGTGGTAGAACCTGCTACAACCACATGACATTTCAGGTAATAAGAATTTCACACATACGGTCTTGGATACACTGATTTTCCCTTTAATGAAATTTGAAAGCCCAGTATGACTGCGGTTTACAGTCGTATACTGACATGGTTTGACTGGTCAAAAGCTGATCAACTATAGTGCTATTCCAACATCGCACTGGCTAATTGTCATTCCACTGGGAATGCTAAAAACATTACAACAGTCATCAGACAACTACTGCTAGGACTGGATAGTTTGGAAGGCCAGGAATTAGTCTAACCCATGAATAAACAGGGGTGCCGACCCACCGCGGGGACTCATCTGTAAGACAGACAGCATGTCTTCCTGATACACATGCACACACACACACGCACGCACACACACAGAGGGTGAGGCACCTGTGAATGACTAGGAACAGCAGACAGACGAGCAGACTTTGGAGTATCTCTTTAAATATGTAATTAGATATTAGTGACATCATCATGCGATACTGAAGTCAGTTTCTCTTGGAAAACACTTTTGTTTAGCTTTCAACTCGACTCTCTGGGATCTTCAATTTGTTGGTCGCTCCATCAGGAAGTGTCTTTCTCCGTCACGTCCACCAGGTGGCCACAGACTCATTTCTATGGTTCCTCTCGGCTCCAGGGAGGCGTTCCCGCACGGCGCGCAACAGAGGCGAGATCAGAATCACAAATCCAAATATCGAGCATAATAGGGCAAAGGGAGAAAGTTATTTCGGATCAAGGTTTTAAAGGAAACTTGATCCGGCTGAGTCCTGCCTTTGCAAGCTGTGACAGCTGACCCGCTAGACACAGTAATAAATAAAAGTTCAAATAAAACAGCTGGGGGTGTGCTAGTTGCCGTAAGCCCACTGCAAGCATTCTTTGTCTGTGCTCAAGGATAAAACTAATTAAGGTTCTTTCCGATTAGCCTGGGAGTCATGGAAACTCCACCGTTGCTGGAAGAAATGCCACTAGAGGTCCAGGAGGAGGGTGATGGTCTCTCTGCGCCCAAAGGATTCACAGTTCTCAGCGATGACACAAGCTCAGGCCTGTATCCCACTCAGCCACACACACAGACACACAAACATTCACAAACTCGTTCTATCTCTTCAGTCCTGATGCCTTTTCCGCCAACACCACTCCCCTCCCTGGTGCCAGTATCCTCACTGGTCCAGATCCTTAGATGACATTGTCAAACAGCTGCATGGACTGCATGATGTTCTCATCCTGAACGGAGACAGAGACAAACACCACTCTGTTTACGCTCATGTGGTTAAAACCGAGGGCAACTACAGACAAAAGTTTTCTCTGTACCTTTTTACATGAATCAATAAATTCATCTATGGTGACCACCCCATCTCTATTCTGGTCCATTTTCTGAAAGAAAACATATTAATTTTCAAAAGAATGTCTGTGACCATATGCAGTCTGGGAGATAACATCAAAGCAAACACTGAGAAATTAAACCTGAAAGAAGCTCTCCACGTGTTCCCTTGGAGCATCGTCCATCATAGTGGGGTACGTGTATTTTCCCATCATGTCATAGATGGACTTCATGATGTCCAGCATTTCCTACAAAGTTAATGTCAAAAAACACACAGGTGTTAGAGATGTAGAAGAAAACAATATTCTTTTATGACGGTTGAAGAGGTAAAAATCAAAGTGTGGGTTCTGATTTTTAGACAAGAGGACCGAAGGGAATGTTCCAGCTGCTGAGGGATTACACTTCTAAGCCTTCCTGGGAAAGTTCATTCTGGGGGAGGGCAGTTCACCTCAAAGTGATAGCTTTCAAACAGGAAAAGGTGGACTACTCCCTCCTGGTCTGCCTCAAGAAGAGAAGTTTGAGTGTCTTGTTCATGAGAGATGCTAAAATGAAGAAGGAAATCAATAGACAGGCTGAGGCCTTGTCTGCAGTAACACAGATGCTGCTGCCCTGTGTCATGCTGGAGAACAGCAGAACCAAAAGCTCTCAATTTACCTGTCTTTGCTCTGACCTTCATCTATAAGTGATGAGACCTGGATTGTGACTGAAAGAACAAAATCTAAAATACAAATGTCCTGAATTATCTTCATCTATAGAGTGGCTGCACTCACTAAGGGAAGCTCAAATTAGATTCACTTCTCCTCCACATCAAGACGAGTCAGCTAAGGTGGTTCAGACACCTGACACCCGCTAAAGGGGAGATCCTATAGGGAAACCCCCAATCACCGGATTCAACATTCATTGCTTCTGGCCTGGAAATAAACACATTGAGATCCCCCAGGATATGCTGGAGAGTCCCAGTTGGGTGAGAGATTTCTAGGTTTCCGGTTTTTTTTTTTTTTTTTTTTTTTTTACATGTTACCTCTGTGACCAGTTTTTGGATAAGTGAAAGACGAAAGAAATCTCAAACGCTGGAAGGCAATAAATGCTTAACACAAGGGATAAGTTCAACATTCTGAAAGGATATTGAAATTCAAATCTATTAAAATAAAACTTGTCGGTTTGCAAATTAACGTGAGTGTGTTACCTCTTTGGTAATGCAGCCATCCTTGTTCAGGTCATATAGGTTAAAAGCCCAGTTTAGCCGGTCATTAATCGTCCCTCTCAAGATGATGGACAGACCAAAAACAAAGTCCTGATAGGGAAAATTAATCAATTAGGAACTGCTAAAGGTCTGACATATTGATGAGGCAAACTATTTATGACTTTCTCTGCCCTGTGGGCTGGTGTTGAGGTGGATAATACATCTTTGTTTGACTGCCACTGCTGTGTCAAATTTCAGATGAGCCCAGATTTGCTTTGATCCGTTCAAAGAACAGAGCTCACCTCGAAACTAACGGAGCCATTCTTGTTGGTGTCGAAGGCTTCAAACAGGAAATGTGCATACATACTCGAATCTGCAAAGGGAGAGACTAAGAGTAACCCGAGAGCAGCGGAAACGTGAAGTCTTTGAACGGCTCTGATTAGCAGTGAGCCAAATATAGACTAGATATAAAAATAATTTCAGATACAACTGGAGGCAAGTGGTTAACATTTCATAAAACTAAATATCATGAAGTGATAGATCACTTTGCTTCACTGCAGAACATCTACTACGGTTAGGAAGAACTGATTATTATGAGTTAAAAATAGAGTAGTTATTTTATTGTGATAAAAAGAAAGATATGCTTCCACTCAGTGCTTCCCTCACAGATTTCTGTTTTCATTTTTTTAAAGTCTGAACATTAAAGACCACCAGGTAAATGTCATTATGTACAAAGATGAGCTGAGTAGAAACATAATACAGTTTCCAAATAATTATTAGATTTTTTTCAAGGAAAAACAGCAACACAAACCAATTTTGCCTCTAAAATGATCTGCATTGAAAATTTTAGGAAGACACACATCACTAATACATCTAGCATAAAACCAATGCAGCATTTCAGAAAAAGAAAATCAGTCAAACATAGTAGTGATAATGTGATATTCTGGCAATGCTTTGCTGACGGAACCCTTTATTTAACTCTTCGCCAAAACATCTAGAATCAGCATGTTGGGCCATCAGCTCACGGGACAGAACCAAGATCAGAAGTACACCAGCAAGTCCATGTCTAACAAGTTCCAGAAAATGAAGATGTCAGAGTGGCCTAATCAAAAATTGATAAATGGTGACATGACCTTTAATAGCCTGTTCAAGCCCAAAAAGCCATCCAGTGTTACAAATTTAAAAACATTCTGTAAAGAAAAATGGGTCAAAATTTCGATACATAAACTGATTATTATTTTTCTCAAATTCATGATGACAGGAGTTGCCAATACTGGTGGCACAACAAATTCTAAGGTTTGGGGCCATGTTGGTTTTTAGCTTTTCCCACTAATAAAAAAAAAAAACATATCTTAATGTTGTTGCAACTTTTGCAGGTGTTATTTTCTTTAGGTTGGGCTATTTACCTTTTGTCTCTAACACTGTAAATGTATTTGGAACATCCAGTGACCTAAAGAGTCTCAGTTATTTAAACCCTGATTACAAACTGACTTCTCAACATGGTATACTGCCACCTTTTGGTTCTTATTTCAGTTTGCTTGCACAACGCAACTTTTACAGACATGGTTTACAGTCATTAATGTCACACAACATATTTGACTGATTTTCATGTTATATTAGAAACTTTTATTTTCACTACATTTGATTTAAATAAATTAATTACTTAGAACCTTTAGTTTATACTGTGTACATCTGTACTCGTGGCCTCTGAGTTGAGCCATAACAGTATTTACTCAGGTCATCTTTGTTGGATCTTAATATTATTTTTGATCACCTGAAACATTCAGGCATGACACAAAAAGCAACAACAGAAAAATATAAATGTCAGATTATTTTACAGTGGTGTACATCTATTTGTTGAACATTTATTTTAATAGAAATATCAACATTTAAATTACACTGTCAAAAATGAAACTCACCGCCCTGAGGAAAGAACTGTGAGTAAATGTGTTTAAAGTTCTCCTCATTCACCACTCCACTCGGACACTCCTAGTGAAAAACAAAAGGAAAATGAAAATACTAACATATTTAAATGCAGCTGAGAATAAAAGTGAACAATGGAAACCTACATTTTTGAAACCCCTGTAGAGGACCTGCAACTCCTTCTTGGTGAACTTTGTCTGCTCTTCCAGCTTGTCCATGCTCTCTGGGCGATGGCACACAGTGGACAACTCAAAGTCATCTTCAACACTGTCTGTAAGAGACATAAAAGGGTTAGTCGCTGTAAAAATAGCCATCAGGGCAAGATCCAAACCTCAAGAAGGGAAAGTCATCTTACTAGTAATATCAAAGTCATGTAAAGAAAATCACATCCAGCCACACTTTTCGTTCTACGTAAATTAAACATTACACAAAACCAAAAAGATTATATTTTCACAACTAAAGAAAGGAGAGAAAACTCAATGAAACAAAGAAAATGTGTCATATAAATTCATGTACTGGGAAAATAATCTAATTTTGAGTTCAGATGAGCAACTCCATTGGGATTAGGTTCGCTTACACTCCTTGTTGCATTTAAAACATGAACCACGAAACATTTCTAAAGTGTATTCTAAAGATGTCAAAGTTAGAGTCATTGCCATAATTTTTAGCTGCCACCCCGAACATTGGTAATACCATTCAAAAGCACACCCCGACTACTTTTCAAGAAGTACACTAATGTCAATCTGTACATCCTGTGGACAATCTAGAAGACTCATACAAAAAGTTTTATTAATGAATGAGAACAAAACAGAAAGTTCAGTAAAACATACTGCTGGACATTGGAAGACTATTTCATGCGTTTGAACCTATAGAACTGTGATAAACGCGCTTGTGAAGTGAAGGACATGGATCATTAATATGGATAAAACAAACTTAACAGTTATTTTACCTTTTTTATAAAATCCCAAATGTTTACAGTACGAATGTAGATAAGCTAAGAATAAGAGCCACATCATAGCTGATACACTCAAGCAGTACTCTGTCTTGTGCTCTTGAACCCTCTCTGCTTGCAACTTGTCTATTCATTCTCACATTCTCTCTACTTGTCTTCTCTCCCCACCCATCGTCCTGAAATTTTTTACAACTCCGTTTTATTTCACTCATCCTCCTTATTCCTCCTTTATGACCCTTGATCCATTTTCTCCTAGTCTTTCTTTAAGACACCTTTTTCATTCCCCTTTTTCTCCTCCACTCTCCTGAGATCCCTTTTCATTCTACTTTATCTTCTCATCTAGTTTAACAACCCCTTTTTATCCCAAATTTCTTCTCCATCACTCTTTATGACCCCAGACACTGAGACTGACCACCATATGGAGGAGGCTAATTTTTAGCTGTGATCTCCTGCTTTTGGTCATCATCAATGTCTCGCGACTATATGTAAGAGTTAGCACATAGACAGACAGACCAGAGTAATGTCTGTATTACGAAAGATGAGATCCAGATCTGTCTATTCATTTACTGCTTCACCGTACCATCACTTCTGAAAAAGACATCACGGTACCCCTTCAGACAGAAACTGAATTCCAGGTGTAATCTACTTCTAGATCTAGAATGACGACCTCAGATTTAGAAGAGCAGGCTCTCGTCCCAGCTGCATCAGTCTGAGCTGCAAACTGCTCCAGGACATGGTAAAAATCATGGTTTGAAGATGCATAAGGAACCATAGCAGCTGCAGAGATCCCATCGATAAATGACACAAACAGAAGGGAGGGCAAGAGAAGCACTGGTGGAGTTCAATCCACACTGGGAAAAAAATTTGATTTGGAAAAAAACGTGAGGACACACCACTTACCTTAGTTATAGACATACTGCAAGACACTCTGTGATCTTACAGTACCAACTCCCACAAAACACACATGAACTGACCAACCAAAATGTCCTAAGACCCCAATAGCATTTCCTTAAGGGTAATGACTACATCAATGTTCAACAGCCAGGACAAAAACACTCTTCTTCTGGAGTCCAAGACTCAAGAATCAGTTACTGCCTTCTTTCAAACTCCCCACACTAAGCTTACTTTAGAGAGTTAAGTATTGTGATACAATTGCTGGAACATGCTCTCTGGCACAATTGGAAACACCACCCTGGTCAGTCACTCTGTCGGTGTTGTCCAAGCCTCCGCTGCAACACCAAAGACGCTTGTAAATCACAACATTTTCACAATGTCCAGACCTTTCAGGGTACAGGGGCACTGGAGAGCTTTTTTAAATCAGTGACCTCTGTCATAGTACCTTACCTACCCAGGTCTTATTTTCCGCCTCCTCTGTGGAGGACCTGGTGACTGGGTTAAGAAGGTCATCAAAGCATTCTTTCCAATGTCTGGCAATGTCAATAGTCCTGGTTTTCATGAAGGGTCTTTCACACAAATTCACTTAGAAAGCATAAAATCTCAAGCTTAAGTGAAAGACTGAAAGAGGTAAAACAAACAGACATACTTTATATTAACTGTGTTTATTAAGTACAAACACACCTTCTACTTTTAGATGTCACACTGTACAAATTGTAACACCAAACCTGCTGGGTTTATGCTTAATTCAAACTGTGAGGCTCTCCATTTCTATGTGCTACGTTAGCTGAATGTGGTAATGACAGCATCCACACAAATGTTAATGTGAACTCTCTAGAGAGGCTACTGGAAGAAAAGCAAAGAGATGTATGAAGAGTGAAGGAGCACTTGCTTTGACTGATTGAGGGAGTGGTCGAGGGCGTGCAGCACGGCAGCAGCTTGAGGAATCGCTGCTTTATGGTTTTTTTGCTTTGACTGGTGGAGGGGTTACCTGCAATCACCAACCATAGCACACAGGTTAGATATGTACACTGACATGAGTCTTTTTACGTCTCTAGCAACATGCCTGTAGAACCAAAACACACATAACACACAACAAAACAAACAAAAAAAAAATGCAACAAACTAGTTCATGCTGATCAGGCAGGTAATTGCCTTCTGGCTTGGCTCAACAAAGGGAGACCATTTTTATTTGCATCCCAATATTTAAGGCTGTCAAAAATATTATCACCTGGATTTAACAAAGTAAATAGGTAAGAGGCTCCCGTTGAGTAATTATGGATAATCATGCTTCAGCTAGCATTATTTAAACCCTAGTCGATGCAGGAGATGGCTTCTCAACCTTCTTTGAAGACACATCCTGTGGTTGGGGGAAATATATGAATCTGTTTTACACTCTAACAAAAAAAAAGCATCTAAAGAGAATGCTGAAGCTATTAAAATTGTGTGGAGAACTGTCCAACACATTATTAAAAACTAGAAAGATGCTGGGGAACAATCATGTTTGTGGAAGAAGTGTGCTTAAACCAAAACCTCAAATGACTGTGATAGGTGATCACCTACATGTTTGGTAAAATCAAAAACACCAGCAGAAATCCCAGGTATGTTCACTAAGGAACATAAGAGCATTTACACATCCATCCTGCAAACAAGCTCAAGAGATTGGGACAAAAAGTTAAGTAGCCTGAATAAAATCATTGATCAGTGAGACTAAACGAAGAAAGCCTTAAGTTTGTCAAGGAGAATAAAAATTGCACTCAGGAGGAGCTGATCATCATGTGGTCTGATGAGTCCAGAACTTCCCCTGATCTAGAGTGTAAGAAGAGGAGGGATGCACCCATCATGCATAGTGCAAGACAATAATGTTCACAAATGGATTGGTCAGCAGAGTCCAGAATTTAACCCCATCTACAATCTTTGACACATGTTGGAGAAAAACAGTTTGACTCTTCCATAATCTCTATAAGAGCTTGGCAAAAAAATAAGGCAGTTCTGAGAAAACCATAAATATGAGAAATTTATTAAAATAGCACAATAGCGAATAGCGAATTCCGTGAACAGAGCCATAGGCGATCCAATAACATGTTGGGGTGTGTGACCTTTTTTGGATGGCAAAACTTTTCCAAAAACATATTATTTCAGTTATACTGAAATAAAACTTCCAGTATAACTTCCTAACAATAATCTCAAACAAATGGCAAAACACAGACCTAATTTTACACACAAAGCCCAGCTACTGACTACTGCATCTTAGTTTCCTTAGTTACCAAAAATGACTTTGGTATTTTTCCAAGGCCAGCCAATGGTTTGAACAATGCAGGACATTTGGTGTGAAAATAAACCGAACCACGGCATCTATGATGTGTCATCCCATTGTCTTTCTGTAGCATGCAGCCTCAGGGACTGTCACTTTCTTCGCCTGTGGTTGTGGCATTATTTGCAAACAAAGCAGGCAGAGCACATTGTCCAATATCTGGCAGACTCATCCATCCAACTACCTAAACACAGGCTCTACCCCGGTGCCTTAAGGTGCTCGTACAGGTGAGCAATTTATCTTTCTCTACATGGACCCAAAAGCAGACCATATCACATAAATCAATAGCAGAGACTTTAAAAATTAATCAGAGTTCCTCAGAGGTAAGCTTAAGGAGTTTATGCATGCAAATGATTATAAATATAGAAAACTAATATGTAATCTTATAACCGGTAGGCTGGAACAAGGAAAAGATGAAAGAATATCACAATGAAGATTTTTTATGCATTGGTTAATGCAACAGTGATCGTTCTGAAGCTTTGAAATAGACAAATAAAAAACACTTTTGTTTCATGAATTTTCGTGCCTCTGCTGACTCTGCATGGTGCATTGAGCCTAAAATACTTGCAAGAACCATCAAAGCCTCTGTCAATGCATCGTAGCTAACTCTCAACCTCCTCTGTCTGTCTTTCTTTCTGTCTGTCAGTCTGTCTGATCTCTTTTGCTGCCAAAGTACCGTGATGAATGTGTGCTGAGTTACCTTTGATGTCATTTTATTTTCTGACGATGACACCTGAAATTATTTTATTCTGCTCCAAGTCAAAATAAAATGAAAGAAGTTTTCCCTCTTATGCTTTTTGGTTGCAGTGCTACTGGGTTCAGCAGTGCGGGTAATTTTGACACCTTTTCACAGATTCTTGGGTGTAGCAATACTAGATTTTACACAAATATTGTGTTTCTAGACTCAAGATATATCAGGATAATGAAACAAAACTAGAAAAGATTCAAGTGTGAAGTCTATGAAGACTTCTTATTTAGTTATTTATTTACATTTTTTACTTTAAATTTAGAAGAAAACCAGACATAAAACATAAAACAACAAAGAGAATCAGGAAAGCAAAGGAATTTTGAGTTGTAGATTTTTTTAAAAGATATTTTTGGATAAATGCTCAAGTCTTCCAACCAGAAAGCCCTTAGTCTGCCGTGCAAGCTGTGTCTTGTGTCCTGGTGGCACTCTGGCTAAGACACATTGCTTTAATTCACGTTATCAGTTCAGCATGATCTTCCCAGATATTTATAACGGAGGGACTTCTAATCAAGACCTCTTTGCATCTCTGTTAAACACATTGTGCCATTTATTCATTTTCCTCCAAATATCATTATTATTACTAGTTCCTAGAAAAGAAAAAAAAACAATTGTGAACTCATTTGGCTACTGGAATTGCCCTTTACTTTATTAAAATATAGCCGTAATAATACCTGCAACCCTAAAAGGATATGTATGTTTAGATAACAAGTATATGTAGTAATAATCAATCAATCAATCAATCAATCAATCAATCAATCAATCAATAAATAAATAAATGCTTCATGGGGTAAAGAAATTATCCCTAGAACTCAAACAAAATTGAAATAACAAATAATTTGAAAATAATTTTTACTAATAACCTATAACTACAAATAATTAAAGGTTATACTAAAATTATTATACTGCTGCTATGACTGTTGCCACTACTACTACTACTACTAATAATAACTGCTATATTATCATAACTTTATGAATAAAAACACACAACTTTTCTTAATAGCCTTTGATAAAAATTCATTCAGAAATCCAGAGTAAATTGTAGTTTTCTATTGTGTAAACAAATCGGAGGACTTCAAATGCACAATTGTATCATAGTGAACTAGAGAATAACTCCATCATAGGTATAAATTCTGTTCTATTAAAGGTACAAAGTAATGCCCAGAGTTTGTTGTTTCCTAGAAAAATTCTTCTCGCAGAAGATGTTCCAAAACCATCCAGCCACACATTAGCGGCACAGAATGAGTGTGGGAAATTGGTATGACAAGATGTCATGTTTAACTCTAAAGAAATAGACACAGACACACACACACGCCCACACACACACACACAGACAGCATTCCTGCCTCCTGCCAGCTGAGTGTTTCCCCACTGTCCCATCACCTCATTAAATATTTTGACTAACTCCAGGGTTTCTGCTCCTTCCCAAACACTTCCCTTACCTGCCACAGAGATGTCGATAAGCCCCAGAAAGTGCATCAGTTTGAGGGAGCTGCAGACCACCAGGAGGATGCCCACAGTCTGCAGCCCCTCCACCTCCCACTTGTCTCGGAAGAACAGATGCATCCTTTCCTCCTTTGCTCTCCCTATGTTCCTGTTCACACAAATCTTACTCTTGCCTTGCGGGGGGAGAAGACCACCTTCGGACACCTCCTCCCCCCCTCAACAAATAGTTTCCAAAAAGGAATGTGCTGTCCTTGTTTCTCAGTCCTCCTCTACGTGCCGTGTCCAGCCATCCTAACTCCGCACGGATCCCCACCCTCTTTATTTTTCACTGAAAATAGATTATTATTCTCCTTGTTTCTTCTTCCAGAGCGGAAAGAAAAAGCCGGTGGGGATGCGGACTCCCTCCTCCGCCTCCAGCAGCCTGTCAGAGGTTGTTTAGCTTCCAGGTGAAGTTTGGACCATTCACTGTGTGGGTCCTGACAGGTTGGTGGCAATTGTTTTCAGACTCTCTGATTTTCCATATTCTGACTCTGAAACTCTCTCTACTCTGTGCCTTGGCTCCGTCACTCCGCTACTCTCTGTGTCCCTCCCGAGCTTAATTGGGTCAGTGATGGGGATGAGTGAAAGAGGAAGGAGGAAAAGGATGATAAATTTAAGAAGAGGAAACGGGAGGTGAGTACTACTTGCAGTTGAAGAGGTGAAACAAGGTGGTGTGAGGCTGGAAACACGGGAGAAAACAAAAGAATAACGAGGCAGCGAATTAAGGAAAGAGACAAGAAGAAACATTTGGACAGGAGAGACGAGATGCAACAGTCAGAGCTGAACACAACAGCTGTCATGAGAAAAGCAGAAAAAAAAAGATAATGGTGATTTTTGAATAAGAAAAAGACAAAGATTATCAAAGAGGACGAGAGTAAAACAGTGACGACAGAAATCCAAAGCATCTGACGCAGTAGCTACTGTGGGCAAACTCGCAGATGTGACAATATCCCCTGAGTGTAAAATCGACACATGTGCACACACACAGACACAGCCTGGAGGTGAAAGCTGGGCAACATGTAGTGCATACGCAATGCTGCACAGAGCTGAACCTTTCAGACAGGAAAGAAGATGCTGCTTTCACATCTGGGTCGCTGACATTATCTGTCTTAAAAAAAAAATTGAAAAGAAAAACTATAAACTGGTTTTAGACAAGCAAAACTATAATGATATGTCTGATTTGCATAGAGAATCAATGGCCCGGATTTTATTTACCATAAAAGAAAGATTATGCGGTCGTGTGGGCGAAAATGCTTTGTTGATGTCTGATGTCAAGCGAGAATGACCTGGTTGGTTAGATATGACAGATGGGTGACTTGGTGGATCAAATTACCTCTAATTACAAGGAAGTTGTGTAGAACACAATCTCTGGCTACAGCACATTGTAGCCAGAGATTACAATCTATGAGTGGCTCCTGTCCTTAGTTGATCTGGACAGGAGCTGCAGATCGCACAGAGTCAACAAATTTGAATAACAGTTTGAAAGTACTAAACTTTCCATTCAGTACTAAATATTTGACTTTTTGATACCAGGAATGCTGTAAGGTACTAACTAACCTTTAAACTTCAACTGGCAAACCTTTGTTACAAAAGAAAATCTAAGAGAAGCTAAACAAACGTTTTCTTCGATTGAGATCCTTTGCTTTGTGACGGCCACCACCAAACTCTGAGTTTGTCCTCTTTAAGATTCTTTGGAGGTAATTTAATAGCATGCTTAAAGTCATCCTCCATTTCAAAGATCAACTTGTGCCTGAGCTTTAACTTCCTGGCTGATGTCTTGAGACGTCGGTTCAATACTTCCACGCAATGTTCTTTCTTCATGTTACCATCTATTTTGAGAAATACATTCACATGTTTGTCTCCAATTAACTCAAATGTTTGAGTTAAAACATTTGTGTAAATACCTGATTTCAACTGAATTTCAAGCCAACCTCATTAATCTGCTTTAAATAAAATGGAGACACACAGAACTAACAAAATAGCTGCGATTGGATATACAGATGGTTGGGAAAGTTGGGTAAATAAGCGAATCTCCATCCAGCTCCCCATATGACAGCTGTCACTTTCACTGCTAATCCAGCATAAGGTCTGTGCAGTCTGTTGCCAGTTGACTGAAAGCACTGCTCCAATTTACTTGGAAACTGAGAGACTGTGTGATATAATTAGCAGGCCAGGGGTGAGCTTACCAGAAAACCTTCTCAGATGTCCATTCTCACCAACCCCGACTCACCCACGATGCTCTCACCACCTCCAACGGTTCTGTTAGGGCAGCTCGATTCCAAATGCAAAAGTCACTGAGCTTATTTTAGCCCAAACTGTTTACGGCTCATCTGCTTGAGAAAGTGATGGCTTAAAGAATCCCCAAGAGAAGCTCTGTACCAAAAATAATGTTGGACATTCACTTGCCTGAATTTTAATCGACAGTAGATGTTGACACATGAACACATACACACACACACGCACACACACACACACACACACACACACACACAAGTTCTCTCTGAGGCGGTAATAAAATGTTAGGTTAATCAGTCTTAGTTGATTAGTCTCCGCGAGGAGTAGTTTGCCCGAAGCCAGGCACATCTCCTAATTGAAATGCCTCCATATTTAGTCGTCTACCTGGGCAATTATTTCTCTCAAAACTGATTAAAACGTCTAAGAGACTGGGGGAAAACGTGCATGTGTGGGAAAGCATCAAGCAAATGAGACACAAGAGGTCATTGACAAATGGTGCTCAAAATTGGCTAGTGTGTTTTCAATTAGACAAATGAAATAAGGGATCCATTTGCATGGACCATTAGCATTTGAAGATATTTTTAATATGGTGATGTGAGACAGAAAAAAAAACAGACAGATCGTAACAAGGCCAAGTCCTTGCAGCATGAATTAGAGATGAATGCAAATGAACAGAGGGTAAAGTAAAAAGGAAAAAAAAAGGTTTTTCTCTTTGGAGATCTCAGATTTACAAATGTCATCCTGCATGCACGAACGTAATCGAAAGTGAAGTTTATATTAACATTCTTTTTTGTGGGGCAATGTCTTAAATCAACTATGATGTGACCTGATAAAAATCTGACTGTTGATAATAAATCAGAAGTTATTCTCAAATAATTGCTAGAGACTTAAAATTTTAAAAATGGTAAACCTTTCATTTTTTTTTATTAAAATGTTTAAATTTCCCTTGTTTATCTTAAACATCTTTTAGTTTTGGGTTAACAATGCAAGTGTTTGGTTTCCGACAGATTTCTTCTGTTTTTGCTTTTTCTTTTTTTTAGTCACACTTAAATGCTTCAGGTCATCAAACTAACCTTAATATCTGGCAAAGATAACCAGAGAAAATACTAAATGAATTTGAAAAACATGATATTGTTCAATACGGTGAGGATGTCAAACTCACTTTAATTTGGAGCTGCATCAAGATCTTAAATGTCCTCAAAGGTCCGGCTGTGGCAGAACGTATCGATAAACCTACCCATTGACAAACTATTAAAATATGATTTATTAGAAAATGAGTAGTTAATTAATATTTAACAACTTTTCATTTTTACCTAATTTGGCAGTATACAGATAAAAACTGTTTTTATTTAATTTATAAAAGTATACTGCTCAAAAAAATAAAGGGAACATTTCACTTTAATTGTGTGTGTGGCTCCAAATCCAGGCCTCCATTGGTTAATAAATTTGATTTCCATTGATGATTTTTGTGTGATTTTGTTGTCAGCACATTCAACTTTGTACAGAACAAAGTATTCAATGAGAATATTTCATTCATTCAGATCTAGGATGTATTATTTGAGTGTTCCCTTTATTTTTTTGAGCAGTGTATATTTAAGTACACAACTGTTATCTTGAAGGTCCCATTTATGTGTCCCACTGAAGTCTACGTCCATGTAAAGACTTATAGCAGTCCAGATTTGGCCGTTGGGCCTCGAGTTTGACAAGTGAATTAAGTGAAAACATGCAGAGTGTCCCCTTAAGCACAAGCTCACTAACCAAATAAATAAATAAATTCATTCAGGTTTTCCAGCAACAATATTAAAGCTAAGTGGAAGCATGCTGATTCACACTAAAGTAAAACATTTAAAATAAAAAAAAGTATAGGAATAAGAGAATGTACAAGGTAAATTTACAACATAAGATAAACAAAACTGTATAGTTATTCAAAATAGTATACTCAAATCAAAAGAATTGTAATTTAAATCCAATTTAAAAAAGAAAGATAAACAAAATTCATACTTATTTCAGAGCAAATAAAGCAGCCAACCTGAACTTGATCTGTAATAGACTTGTTGGCACTGATAATCTGACGTTTCCTCAATTCATTCTTTGTAATTACCCTTTCATACCTGTAGAGGTCAGTGTTAAGACAACTATTTAATGTGCAATTCTGTGTTCAAGAGGACTTTTGGCTCCACCCCACAACCTCTCCTCTCCGTCCTGTTATGTTTCATTTACATTCAGCACCAGTCGGAACCAGACTAGCCGTGCGATGACAGTAAAAGAACCTGAGCCATTAACAATTTTCAGCACCTTTGCACACACAGAGCTCTTCAGAAAGAATAGACACATGCTTACTTCTGTGTTGTAGTTTTACAGCATGAGATGAAAAATAAAAAAATAAATCAGACCAAATAATAAAAGTTGTGTTTTGGGTCACTTTTGTACTCGATTCAACAGTTCCTGTCCTTTTACTGTTGTGTCATGTGTTTCTGAGCAGTGAAGTACTCAGTCTAAATTGCATTTGCATTGTTCACAACAAGCCTCTAAGCCTATTTCCCATCAAAGCATAAACATGCCTCTCTCTACTGTTTGCTGCAAGACGCCAAATCAAGAAAACATCCTGAATGGATCGATACCACAAAAAGGGAAAAATGAAAACAAATATTTTTTGCAGCTGACAGAGAGGCTCAGCCCTCTTCAGGGATTTCTGCATCTGTTCAGAGATATTAATCCACTAGAGATTTGCATGGGAGGTTCCTGCCACAGCAGCTAATTTACAGAGGAAATCAACAACATTTCTAGCCAAACAACAGTTTACTTTGTCTGAGCAACAGACGAGCCAGTGGGAAAGTTATCCCAAATGTTGCTTTGATGCAGCCATGAACGAGGATCAAATTGGCAGCAGAACGGCAGCAACTTGTAGCTTTTCTTTGGAAATGTAAAACAGGATAAATCCATCCCCTCGCTGTTTGACGTAAATGATTAATTCTGGTAAATCCTGCTCCTAGGCTTCTGTGCCCTTGTTAATACTTTATGTAGGTACAAGACTCGAGTCAAGAGCCAGATGAAAAAAAAAAGTCAATAAGAGACGGAGAGAAAAAAAGTGTATGAGCTGGAGGTTCAGAGTGAGAGCCAAATAAATTTAACTTTCACCCAGTGTCTTGAAAAGCAGCTGTCGTTGCAACACCACTACATCAGCAAAACAAGTTTTAGACAATTTACGTATTTTAATTCGTCAAACACATTTTAAAATTTAGATTAGGAGGAATAAAAGCTCTCGTCTCACACTTTCAAAACAGACGCCAGCCACATTAGTTCCACTTTGTAACACAGACTGATTTCTGCAGACACATTTCCTTGGGTTAAGACAATCATACAAACTTAGGAAACATGTCACTTTGTCCATTTTTCTTGCTTCTAATACATCAAATATGAAACTAAATGTTCACTCAGTGTATAAGGTATTCATTCTAAAATAAATTTATGCAAATTCCTGCAAATTCTAATAAAACACAAACAGACATGTTCAAGACCAAAGCTCTGTTGGTGTGAATGGCAGGGAGAGAAAGACAGAGTGAATTACTCCATTCACAGTGTTATCTTTTCACTCACATGATCTGAACCACCAACTTTTGGTCTTCCTCTCTTTCATCCACATAGTAGCTGACATACAAACTGTCTTTTTAACTTGAAGACATGCGCACAGCTGCTATCAAATTCAAAGGTGCAGGGCCAGCTGGAACAAAAAAGAGGAACACAAAAGAAGGAGAGAATAAGGTAGAGAGGGGTGAGTTTGGTATTGGATATCCCCTGTGTGATCCTCCTTGTCTCCCAGGCTCTCATCTATAGCTGGCTAACTAACAACGGTGCAGGGATGGAAAAGACCCAGACAAGGACAACAAGGACAGACTCCTTCACATCCATTGCTGATTTAATAAAGTTGACTAAATTATTGATATACTTCAGCTCCAAACCACTGAAAGAGGGATAATACTGTTCACCCTTGTTTTAGCAACACAACAGAAATAAGACTTATTAAACAATTCATTACTGTGAATTAATAGCCTGTCCCTGACATTTCTTTTCCTGTTGAGACTCTAAAGTGAAGGCTATATGATTCTGAGAACCCTTAGAGTGTGTGCAGCACCGCAGCTCCATCTCAATTTGCTGCGAGCACAAACACACTCCATTCTCCATTAGCTCGCCTATCAACTGAAGGGCAATTACAGGGAGGGCAAATGGACATAAAGGTGTGTGCATGAAATCAGACAAAAATGGGTCCTCTGGTGACCAGCAAAACGTTTTAACAGCACTTATTCTTCTGCATTATACCAATACCACTCTATCACTGCCTAACATCTTCAATAGCTGCTTTCACATTTGGACATAAACCATGTAGCTTCTGCACTTAACGATACCTACATCTTTCTAACCCTAACATTAAGCTTTGTCTTCCAGACATCGAGTAAAGATCTTTTCAGCCTGCTCCATTTTGTCATCTGATTCTTTAAAGCATTGCACTGGAGCGCCTTGAAAATATATATTCCCATCTCTTTGAACTTATTTAATTTTTTTTTTTTTACATTATAAATAGTAACTCCCATTTATGTTATTGGAATTTATTGTTATCAACCCAAATGTAGTGCACAAATATGATGCAGTTTGGCATGTCAAAACTATTTAGGACCAACTTTTGCTGCAGTTGTGTGGAAAAAAAGAAATAGCTGAGCCAAAGAGTGAAGCTCTCAATTTATTAGTCTGTTTAGATTCCAACCTCTGTCTATGGTTATGAGATATGAATCATAACAAGGGTCAAATATTTTCTCCATAGGGTGACTGAGCTTAACTTTAGATCACCCTGACATCCACAGCAATCTGGAGGGAGCTGCTGCTGCTTTGCACATAAACAAGGCAGTACTT